AGCCCAGTTCCAAGCAGAACAGTAGGACGTTAAAACCCCATTTCATTTCTTGAAACTAGTTGGGAAGCCCCCCGGTCCCTACCCCATGCCCCGGCTCCTTCAGCTATGGCTACGAGCATGATTTGCTACTAATTATCTTAGCCCGCTGCCACCGCTGCTTAATATTGAGCGACTTGTTTATTCGACTGAATTATTCGACTGGTTTATTCGACTGAACTTTTCGACTGAATTATTCGACTGGTTTATTCGACTGGATTATTCGACTGAACTAACTGACTGATTTTATCGACTGGACGAGGCCACATGAAAATGTCAAATACCTCACCCCCCCCGCCCCACCCCATCCCCTTTCTTCGTTCATATCATATATAGGGACTCTATTCTTTTCGAGGCGGACAAGGACAGCTGTCTAGTCTTTCGGATGGGACGAAAAACCGAGGTCCCGTGTCTACATTGGAGTGGACGTAAAAGATCCCTTTGACAGATGGAATTCGATATAAGAGTAGGCCGTAGTGCCGCTGTCCGGGCAAAATTTCCCTCATCGCACAGTGTATGGCGTCTGCCCGTCTTCATTAGCCCAGTTCCAAGCAGAACAGAAGGACGTTAAACCCCATTTCATTTCTTTTCATTTCTTGAAACTAGTTGGAAAGCCCCCCGGTCCCTACCCCATGCCCCGGCTCCTTCAGCTATGTCTACGAGCATGATTTGCTACCATATTATCTTAGCCCGCTGCTTAATATTGAGCGACTTGTTTATTCGACTGAATTATTCGACTGAACTATTCGACTGAAGTATTCGACTGGTTTATTCGACTGAACTTTTCGACTGAATTATTCGACTGGTTTATTCGACTGGATTATTCGACTGAACTAACTGACTGATTTTATCGACTGGACGATGCCACATGAAAATGTCAAATACCTCATCCCCCCCCCGCCCCACCCCATCCCCTTTCTTCGTTCATATCATATATAGGGACTCTATTCTTTTCGAGGCGGACAAGGACAGCTGTCTAGTCTTTCGGATGGGACGAAAAACCGAGGTCCCGTGTCTACATTGGAGTGGACGTAAAAGATCCCTTTGACAGATGGAATTCGATATAAGAGTAGGCCGTAGTGCCGCTGTCCGGGCAAAATTTCCCTCATCGCACAGTGTATGGCGTCTGCCCGTCTTCATTAGCCCAGTTCCAAGCAGAACAGAAGGACGTTAAACCCCATTTCATTTCTTGAAACTAGTTGGAAAGCCCCCCGGTCCCTACCCCATGCCCCCGGCTCCTTCAGCTATGGCTACGAGCATGATTTGCTACTATATTATCTTAGCCCGCTGCCACCGCTGCTTAATATTGAGCGACTGAATTATTCGACTGGATTATTCGACTGAATTATTCGACTGAACTATTCGACTGGTTTATTCGACTGAACTTTTCGACTGAATTATTCGACTGGTTTATTCGACTGGATTATTCGACTGAACTAACTGACTGATTTTATCGACTGGACGAGGCCACATGACAATGTCAAATACCTCATCCCCCCCAACCCCGCCCCACCCCATCCCCTTTCTTCGTTCATATCATATATAGGGACTCTATTCTTTTCGAGGCGGACAAGGACAGCTGTCTAGTCGTTCGGATGGGACGAAAAACCGAGGTCCCGTGTGCACATTGGCGTGGACGTAAAAGATCCCTTGACAGATGGAATTCGATATAAGAGTACGCCGTAGTGCCGCTGTCCGGGCAAAATTTCCCCCATCGCACAGTGTATGGCGTCTGCCCGTCTTCATTAGCCCAGTTCCAAGCAGAACAGTAGGACGTTAAAACCCCATTTCATTTCTTTTCATTTCTTGAAACTAGTTGGGAAGCCCCCCGGTCTCTACCCCATGCCCCGGCTCCTTCAGCTATGTCTAAGAGCATGATTTGCTACCATATCATCTTAGCCCGCTGCCACCGCTGCTTAATATTGAGCGACTTGTTTATTCGACTGAATTATTCGACTGAACTATTCGACTGAAGTATTCGACTGAACTTTTCGACTGAATTATTCGACTGGTTTATTCGACTGGATTATTCGACTGAACTAACTGACTGATTTTATCGACTGGACGAGGCCACATGAAAATGTCAAATACCTCATCCCCCCCCCCGCCCCACCCCATCCCCTTTCTTCGTTCATATCATATATAGGGACTCTATTCTTTTCGAGGCGGACAAGGACAGCTGTCTAGTCGTTCGGATGGGACGAAAAACCGAGGTCCCGTGTATACATTGGAGTGGACGTAAAAGATCCCTTTGACAGATGGAATTCGATATAAGAGTAGGCCGTAGTGCCGCTGTCCGGGCAAAATTTCCCTCATCGCACAGTGTATGGCGTCTGCCCGTCTTCATTAGCCCAGTTCCAAGCAGAACAGAAGGACGTTAAACCCCATTTCATTTCTTTTCATTTCTTGAAACTAGTTGGGAAGCCCCCCGGTCCCTACCCCATGCCCCCGGCTCCTTCAGCTATGGCTACGAGCATGATTTGCTACTATAGTATCTTAGCCCGCTGCCACCGCTGCTTAATATTGAGCGACTTGTTTATTCGACTGAATTATTCGACTGAACTATTCGACTGGTTTATTCGACTGAACTTTTCGACTGAATTATTCGACTGGTTTATTCGACTGGATTATTCGACTGAACTAACTGACTGGTTTTATCGACTGGACGAGGCCACATGAAAATGTCAAATACCTCATCCCCCCCACCCCCGCCCCACCCCATCCCCTTTCTTCGTTTATATCATATATAGAGACTCTATTCTTTTCGAGGCGGACAAGGACAGCTGTCTAGTCTTTCTGATGGGACGAAAAACCGAGGTCCCGTGTCTACATTGGAGTGGACGTAAAAGATCCCTTTGACAGATGGAATTCGATATAAGAGTAGGCCGTAGTGCCGCTGTCCGGGCAAAATTTCCCTCATCGCACAGTGTATGGCGTCTGCCCGTCTTCATTAGCCCAGTTCCAAGCAGAACAGAAGGACGTTAAACCCCATTTCATTTCTTTTCATTTCTTGAAACTAGTTGGGAAGCCCCCCGGTCCCTACCCCATGCCCCCGGCTCCTTCAGCTATGGCTACGAGCATGATTTGCTACTATATTATCTTAGCCCGCTGCCACCGCTGCTTAATATTGAGCGACTTGTTTATTCGACTGAATTATTCGACTGAACTATTCGACTGGTTTATTCGACTGAACTTTTCGACTGGTTTATTCGACTGGATTATTCGACTGAACTAACTGACTGGTTTTATCGACTGGACGAGGCCACATGAAAATATCAAATACCTCATCCCCCCCCACCCCCGCCCCACCCCATCCCCTTTCTTCGTTTATATCATATATAGGGACTCTATTCTTTTCGAGGCGGACAAGGACAGCTGTCTAGTCTTTCGGATGGGACGAAAAACCGAGGTCCCGTGTATACATTGGAGTGGATGTAAAAGATCCCTTTGACAGATGGAATTCGATATAAGAGTAGGCCGTAGTGCCGCTGTCCGGGCAAAATTTCCCTCATCGCACAGTGTATGGCGTCTGCCCGTCTTCATTAGCCCAGTTCCAAGCAGAACAGTAGGACGTTAAAACCCCATTTCATTTCTTTTCATTTCTTGAAACTAGTTGGGAAGCCCCCCGGTCCCTACCCCATGCCCCCGGCTCCTTCAGCTATGGCTACGAGCATGATTTGCTACTATATTATCTTAGCCCGCTGCCACCGCTGCTTAATATTGAGCGACTTCTTTATTCGACTGAATTATTCGACTGAATTATTCGACTGAACTATTCGACTGGTTTATTCGACTGAACTTTTCGACTGAATTATTCGACTGGTTTATTCGACTGGATTATTCGACTGAACTAACTGACTGGTTTTATCGACTGGACGAGGCCACATGAAAATGTCAAATACCTCATCCCCCCACCCCCGCCCCACCCCATCCCCTTTCTTCGTTCATATCATATATAGGGACTCTATTCTTTTCGAGGCGGACAAGGACAGCTGTCTAGTCGTTCGGATGGGACGAAAAACCGAGGTCCCGTGTCCACATTGACGTGGTCGTAAAAGATCCCTTTGACAGATGGAATTCGATATAAGAGTAGGCCGTAGTGCCGCTGTCCGGGCAAAATTTCCCTCATCGCACAGTGTATGGCGTATGCCCGTCTTCATTAGCCCAGTTCCAAGCAGAACAGTAGGACGTTAAAACCCCATTTCATTTCTTTTCATTTCTTGAAACTAGTTGGGAAGCCCCCCGGTCTCTACCCCATGCCCCGGCTCCTTCAGCTATGTCTAAGAGCATGATTTGCTACCATATCATCTTAGCCCACTGCCACCGCTGCTTAATATTGAGCGACTTGTTTATTCGACTGAATTATTCGACTGAACTATTCGACTGGTTTATTCGACTGAACTTTTCGACTGAATTATTCGACTGGTTTATTCGACTGGATTATTCGACTGAACTAACTGACTGATTTTATCGACTGGACGAGGCCACATGATAATGTCAAATACCTCATCCCCATCGCCCCCCTAACCCAACATATCATATATAGGGACTCTATTCTTTTGGAGGTGGACAAGGACAGATGTCTAGTCGTTCGGATGGGACGAAAAACCGAGGTCCCGTGTACACATTGGCGTGCACTTAAAAGATGGGGGCATATGGGGATGAGGGAAAAAGTCAAGCATGACTTTATTAAGCCGCGGTGGCAATAACTAAGATAACACCTTAAAGTTTTAATTTGAACAATCAAATTTGAACATGAGGGGACGTAAAAAATAAACAAAAACAATGATAAAAGATATTGGAATTAGTGCGTTTTTTCTTTAACTTATACAGATTACAAACGATTCCAAAATTTTAATAAGCCATCGACCGGTTTATTCGACTGACTATTTGTTTTGGACTTAGGGTCGACTCACTCTCTTCTGACTTTTATTACTGGATAATCCAGAATTTTGTGAGCCATTTTTATTTCCTGTTTGAGCAAACTGCACTAAAAATTTCGAATTCATCATAAAGTGCTAAGGAGAAACATATTCATTAATTGTCACTAAGTAAGGAAAAAGCATTTCTATTTATCTACTACTGCTCATTTTCAGTACAAAGAACAACATTATTTTTGTCGTGGATTTACATGGCACCTAGTACTAGTAGATTAAAACCTAGTAATAGTAATCGTATTAATATGTAACGGGCATTGCCTGAGTAGAGCGAAGCTGATTATTGTCCATTACAAAACCTTAATAATTAATTTTCTCAAGTGATACAAAAAATGTTAAATAATTTAGTTTTTCAAAATTGATTTTTATTTAGATCTCAATTTTATACATTAATTTTGTTTTTAAAAAAAAAAAAAAAAAAAAGTGTGACGTCATTGATTAGACGCATCATAGAAATAGTTCTATGAGGCGCGTAATCTCGCTTGGACGAGATTTGGTAAGTTGACATGCGCATTGCCTGTTTTCTCCAGTGTATACGGTTCCGGTCTGAATGGCTATAGTATATGCATACATCACACCGAACTAGACAATACAATAAAAAAAAAAGAACAGGAATGGGCATTTCTCTCCATATCCGCACAGCCAAAAATAGCATGCGCACATTCTGTCTCATGTGATCATACGTCAATTTCTAAATAAGCTTTACTTTAATAGTAAAAAAGCGTAGTAGTAGCACTGCCTTATGGCTTATAATATAAGTGAAGCAATGGGTGGGGTTTTACGCATGCAATATTTGGGGAGATTTCACCTTGGTGGTGTCATGGCGACTTGTACATTACAAGAAATGTTGCTTCGAAAATGTAGAATGCATTACTGTACCACAAAGAAAAACTATTCGGTAACTATTTTAGTGGTCCAGTCTTCAATATTTTTGATATAATTACTTATTCCAATACAAACTGTAAAGTGTAATGATATGTGTTGACAATTGTGCTTTTGAACCTATTTCTACTTACGCAAGCCCTTTTTATTGTCAATTGTAGCGCTAAACACAGATTAGCTCGAAATATTGTAGCTTGCCGATATCCCTGAAATATCGCAATATTAAAAAAAACGGCAAAGTATCTACTTCCGCTATTTTACCGTACATCGTTTCTGATTGGCTAATTTGTATGATGATGTCATACCTTATTCAAAATGGCGGAAAGTACAGATGTTCTGAAAATAGGAGATAAATTTGAACCCTAACCCTAACCCATTTTTCTAATCCATCAAAATGGAAAATTAAATTAAAATAATTACAATAGTGTGTTCTTAATTTATTTTCAAATTTTGGGATTATACTGACTTTTAAGATAGCCGTATACGGTTAAATTCATCTCATGTACGGTCAAATATTCCAGGAACTGACACTTGATAACGTCACTATATTCCAGCCAATCAGAAACGATGTACGGTAAAATAGCCGGAAGTAGATACTTTGCCGTGTACATGTACGGTTAAATATCCACTCCGTAAAAAAAAAATATAAAAAAAATGTTTCATAATTTCAGTTTACCACCCTTCATTGTCAAAATAAAAAACATGTATAAAAAGTGGGACGTACCCTCTGAGGTCTATTGATTTAACGCATTGTGTAGTCAATATTTATTTAAAATATTTAGCATAATGAAATACAGTATTACAAAAAAATGATCAGACATTGATATATCACGAAGATTTGTTAAAGATGTGTAGTCTATCTAGATCCAATTAGCTGCAATTTTGTGGGAGTCTCTTGTCTTGTCCGCTGATACACCCTTCGAGGCTTTACGCAAGTAAAAAGAGCTTCAAACACACAATTCTCAACATTTACAATGTATCGTCACAGTTTGTATTTAAATAAGTAATTTCTACTACAAATAGTGAAGAATGGATCATTAAAATAGTTACTGAACAGTATTTCTTTGTAGTACCGGTAATGTGTTCTACATTTTCGAAGCGATATTTCTAATGATGTACATTACGCCATGACATCACCCAGGTAAAATCTCATCAGATATCACTTCATATAGCCCCAGCCATTGCTTTCTTTACAAGGATTTGTTTACTATAACCAAATACCATTAGCTCATCTAAATATATGCATGAAATCCATATAGTGTAAATGGAAAATGATGTTTGATCACATGCGACTTAGTGCACATCCTAATTCTCGATAAATGACCGTTTTAAGTACGAAAATGAATGAAATATTAAGTACATGTAGCCGTTGGATTTTATCAAATCAAATGATTATGCTATTAAAGGTTTCACCTTTATTTCAATGGGAATTAGTTTATTATATGTTAAGCTGTATGCAGTACAGTTCATTGTCAATTTAATGATTACAAAACTTGCTCGAATTAAGTCCTTAGAACGATACACTTCTGTGGCTGGTGCAAGAATATCTGTAGTGGAATCATTTCTAAGATATGATGTGCTTGTTTTAGCTACGATTGGAGCATATTCATTATTATTCATATTTTCTTATTCAAGTGTATGACCTCTTGAAAATTCAGTTTACAATACAAGAACACTTAATTAAACTTAACTCATTCAAAGGAACTATAAACATCAGTTGCAATTCTGTCTCAAAATGTATTCATTTATAACCAAGTCATGTAGGGATTTTTTGGATCACAGACTGCCATGACACTGATTATCAGTCGACTGGTACTATCAATGTACATGTAATTGGCATTACTTATATTTCTGCCTTATTCTAGATTTATGTGAAAAAGGCAATCAATGATTCTTTTGAAAAGTCAAAGCACCGATATACACAATTCGTCAGTGGACAGAAGTAGTGGCGATTCTAACAGTACAAGAAATGTTTCCAATTGTGGATTGTTTATCAATCTGATTAAAATACAGATCTATATTTCGTTTCATTTTTTTTTTTTTATACTTTCCATGGCCTACACTACATGAAGATCTGACTGGTTGTACTGGAAGGCCGCATCAGGGGTCGTATGTGCGGCTTTTGACCCCACGACGTCAGACATTGATTAATCAATCAGCGTTGACATTTCTAGTGGTTTACCCATTGGCTAATCCCTCACTTCAACCAGAATGCCAGTAATATAACAACTTTTCCAGATCCTAGTGTAGTAAAGACAAGTAAAGTGAAATTTTAAACTATAAAAAACGAATCGAAATGGGATCTGTGTTTTAATCGGATTGGATTGTTTATGAAAAGAATGCCGTACTGCCCGTACATGACATGTGTTTCTTTGTATCTGTAATTGTAATATTTCTGAATATTTAATATATAATCAAAATATTGCCATGAATTTATTAGAAATAGGCCAATTCAAAACAAGAAAGAGGATATACCTTTACCAACTTACGGTCTTTGATAATCATCGTTTACTGTAAAAGTAATATATTATAATAAAAAAGACTAATATGCTGATGAATTTATTTGAAAATGACCTACCCAAAAGAGAAAAGAAGATATTTAAACGACATGCACAAATATTTCAAGTCCCTACCATTTTTATACGCCCACATTTTCATGTGGATGTATATTGTCGTCGCCCCTGTCGGTCCATCTGTCTGTCCGTCCGTCCGTCCACAATTTGTTTGTGGAAACTCTATAGGTCACAATTTCTATCTGATTTGGACAAAACTTAAAATATAGGTCTATCTCCCATAGATCTCGGTTCCTTTCGATATCATCATGTATCGGACCATAACTTCATGGATTATGGCCTCTGATTGTACGAAAAATCAAATTTTTAGATTGTGGACACTCTAGAGGTCACAATTTTCATCTGATTTTGATGAAACTTGACATGCATGTTTATAACCCAAAGATCTTGGTTCCTTTTGATATTCGTGCATAGCAGACAGTAACTACCTGAATTATGGCCCCTGATTGTATGAAAAATCACGTTTTTACCTTGTGGTCCCTCTAGAGGTCACAATTATTATTCAATTTAAAAAAAACGTCCAAATGTATCACCGTTACACGGCAATGTTGGTTGAGTTTGAAGTTCTTGAAAATCGGATGAAAATGGCCGCGCCCTCTACGCAAATAGTGTAAACATCTGGTATACATGTATCAATTTTGTGGAACCTCTAGAGGTCACAATTTTGATGCGATTTTAATAAAACTTGAAATGCATGGTTAAAACCCAAATATCTTGGTTCCTGTCGATATTCGCACATATCTGATCGTACCTTCCTGAATTATGGCCCTTGATGTATGAAAATCACTTTTTGTTTAGCTTGTTCTCCATCCATCTCTTGCAAAATGTGGGCGTATCCTGCCTGGCAGCCGCTGGTTTAGTACGACATTGACGGCTAAAAATATCAATTATTTATTTATCCTGTTGTTTTCATGGTAAATATTAACCTGGTTATGAATCATGCTACGAATCATATAATAGTACCTGATTCACAATACGTATTGTATAGTGACTGCAGTGGCAATACCCAGCACTATCTTATACCAGTTTAAATCATTGCCTGAAGACTAAATTGTATGATGATTATGTTTCAGAAAAGCTGACTTGATTGTGTAAAATGGGAGAAATTCCTAATGATATGAAAGTTAATGTTCGTGCTGTGTTGTTATCACAGGAAGGTGGTGTACTTGTTAGTCAGTTTATAAAAGATTATAAACATCTTATACAAAAAACCTTACCCTACAAAAATCATGGTTTTGATAATCTTGAAGATTTTTTCAAGGCAATGCCAGATGTTGTCAGGTATGTATTGACTGCCGTGGGCCAAAGTCCTTTCTTTGTTTTTATATGCCCACATGGAAATGTGGATGTATATTGCCATCGCCCTGTCCATCCGTCCGTCCACAATTTCTTGTGAACGCTATCATGATTCGATTGTTTTAAGATTGATAATGAGATGAAGAAGCCTATTTGATTTCAATGATTTCCGTTTATTATTTATATGCATTATTTGAATTAGTGAAAAGAGGAAGCCCATTGTTTCACCTTGTGAACGCCGAGGCTCTAACATCAAAACATATCTGCCAATCTGTATGAAATTAATATGCATCATTTAAATTAGTAAATCCTATTGAATTTCAGCAATTTCCATTTATTACTTCTAGAGTTGTGGCCCTTGTTTCACTTTGTTGCACCTTGTGAATGCTCTAACATCTTAAGTTATCTGCCGATCTGTATGAAATTTAAATGCATCAATTATATTACATTAGTAAAAAGAAGAAGAATCCTATTGAATTTCAGTTTATTACGTCTAGAGTTATGGCCCTGTGGATGTATATTGCCATCGCCCTGTCCGTCCGTCCGTCCGTCCGTCCACAATTTCTTGTGAACGCTATCATGATTCGATTGTTTTAAGATTGATAATGAGATGAAGAAGCCTATTTGATTTCAATAATTTCCGTTTATTATTTATATGCATTATTTGAATTAGTGAAACGAGGAAGCCCATTGTTTCACCTTGTGAACGCCGAGGCTCTAACATCAAAACATATCTGCCAATCTGTATGAAATTAATATGCATCATTTAAATTAGTAAATCCTATTGAATTTCAGCAATTTCCATTTATTACTTCTAGAGTTGTGGCCCTTGTTTCACTTTGTTGCACCTTGTGAATGCTCTAACATCTTAAGTTATCTGCCGATCTGTATGAAATTTAAATGCATCAATTATATTACATTAGTAAAAAGAAGAAGAATCCTATTGAATTTCAGTTTATTACGTCTAAAGTTATGGCCCTGTGGATGTATATTGCCATCGCCCTGTCCGTCCGTCCGTCCGTCCACAATTTCTTGTGAACGCTATCATCATTCGATTGTTTTAAGATTGATAATGAGATGAAGAAGCCTATTTGATTTCAATAATTTCCGTTTATTATTTATATGCATTATTTGAATTAGTGAAACGAGGAAGCCCATTGTTTCACCTTGTGAACGCCGAGGCTCTAACATCAAAACATATCTGCCAATCTGTATGAAATTAATATGCATCATTTAAATTAGTAAATCCTATTGAATTTCAGCAATTTCCATTTATTACTTCTAGAGTTGTGGCCCTTGTTTCACTTTGTTGCACCTTGTGAATGCTCTAACATCTTAAGTTATCTGCCGATCTGTATGAAATTTATATGCATCAATTATATTAAATTAGTAAAAAGAAGAAGAATCCTATTGAATTTCATTTTATTACGTCTAGAGTTATGGCCCTTGTTTCACTTTGTTGAACCTTGTGAACGCCAAAAGTTATCCGATCTGTATGAAATTGATATGCATCATTTAGATTAGTGAAACCACACAGCCTATTGAATTTCAGCCATTTACTTGTACAATAATTATGGCCTTTGTTTCACTTTGTTCAACCTTGTTAATGCTCGATTGATGAAAGTTATCATCCGATATGTATGAAATTTATACATGTATGCATTATTTAAATTTGTGAAACAGAGGTCTATTGAATTTTGGCAATTTCGTCAATTATGGTCCTTGTTTTACTTTGTGACCTTGTGAACGTTGGCCTGACAAAATTTATCATCCGATCGGTATGAAATTTATATGCATTATTTAAATTAGTAAAACAAAAAAGCCTGTCAAATTTCAAAATTGTCTGTAAATTACCTCCAGAGTTCAGGCCCTTGTTTCAGTTTGTAGAACAAACAACAAAAATTATAATCTGATCTGTATGAAACTGTTTTGTAAATGCACCCAATTATCTACAAAAGAATAAATATGCAACAATCCTTGTCAGCCGCTCGGACAATTTAACTGCTGTGGGCGTATGTTTGGTTTCCTGGCAACCTATCTTTGCCTTAGTTGGTAGAACATGTATCAGATAGAAGCTCACATGTAGATTTAAGTACTCTTAGCAAATACCGTGGGCAATGCATTGAATAGGACTACTTAGCATGTTTAAGTTAGGTGGGGTAGTGGATGGCCGAATAGTTAGCACGTGCATGCTGTATCATAAGGTCTGTCATTGAGTCAACTGACGTGGTTTTGATTCCCCAGTTGTACGTGACAAGGAATACATGTAGGGTCGGCTGTCAAACCTCGTGGGCTTTCTCCAGGTCCTCAGGTTTCTTCCACTACTGAAGACCTACATGTATATGCGCAAGCGAATTATTGAAATAAAATTGAACCATATGTTAGTCCCGAAATGACCTGGTTTGTGTTGAGTGGACGTTAAACCCCTTTTCTCACTTTTTTAACATGTTTAAGTATTGTCATGCTGTCGTTAGAGCCAGATTTGGTTAGATTGTTCTTCACTCCACTGACTCCATCCATGTATAGCCCACATTACATTATCCTAAGTTATTATATAAAGATATGTACAACAACTGTATAAAGTAATATCCACATTACATAATGTAATTTATCTTTACTCTCTAACTTTAAAGAAGCTGAACCTGTTAATCAAGATATTCCATATTAGACTTTGAAATATCTTGTTGACGCTCTAGAGGCTAAAGTTAATATCTGATTGACTTAAAATTTATATTTGAAAGTTTAAGGACATGAGACGGAGGAGCTTTTTGATTTTCAGCTCTTTCCGAAAAAATTTCTGCCAAAGTTATGGCCCTTGATCACTTTGAAAAATCTTGTGGATGCTCTAGAGGCTAAAGTTAATATTCGATTTCCGATAGTTACGGCCAGAGTTATGGCCCTTGAAGACTTTGAAATATCTTGTGGTCGCTCTAGACGCTAAAGGTAATATCTGGTTGACTTAAAATTTATACACAGTGGTTAAGGTCATGAGATGAAGAAGCCTGTCAGATATCCCAACTATCTCAGTCCCTTTCCTTATTCACACATTTCAGACCATAACTTGCTGGATTATGGCCCCTGATTGTATGGACACTCTAGAAGTCATAATTTTTATCCGATTTTGATGAAACTTGATATGTATGTTTATAATCCAAATATCGTGGTTTCTTTTTTATATTTGCAAAATGTGGGCGTATTTTGCCTGGCAGCTGTGGTTTTAAACTTGTTCTCTATCCATCTCTTGCAAAATGTGGGCGTATCTTGCCAGGCAACCGCTGGTATAATCAGTATAATCGTGTATTCTGTGGTTTCAGACGCCATTTGTAATGAACAAAGAAAAACATATCCTGCAAGACAATGCGGAAGTTATTAGTAATGGTTGACTTAAAATTTATACACAGTGGTTAAGGTCATGAGATGAAGAAGCCTGTCAGATATCCCAAATATCTCAGTCCCTTTCTTTATTCACGCATTTCAGACCATAACTTGCTGGATTATGGCCCCTGATTGTATGGACACTCTAAAAGTCACAATTTTCTATCTGATTTTGATAAAACTTGAAATGTATGTTTATAATCCAAAGATCGTGGTTCCTTTTTATATTTGCAAAATGTGGGCGTATTTTGCCTGGCAGCCGCTGGTTTAAAACTTGTTCTCTATCCATCTCTTGCAAAATGTGGGCGTATCTTGCCAGGCAACCGCTGGTATAATCGTGTATTCTGTGGTTTCGGATGCCATTTGTAATGAACAAAGAAAAACATATCCGCAAGACAATGCGGAAGTGATTAGTAATGGCTGATTTACAAAAAAATAAAAAATTATTTGAAAAACATGTAGAATGGGCTAAGTAGACGTAAACAACTCGTTTAATTTGAACTGTTCACATATTTCCCAGAACCTAATTAATTAGAAATTACAATTAATTTTTTTTAAAAACGAATATAAATCTCTTTATATACATTCATATTACATTATTATGTACTTTTTTTAGAGACCCATTTACGTCTATTTTATAAATCCAAAGAATAGAGCCATACACCCTTTAACATTAATAATTTAATTTGGATAAATTTTATGTAATTGTCAGGCAGCTATGCCAAAAATGACTTAGTAATACTAGTAATAGTTTATGATGTTACCCTCAATTTGCTAACTTGTGTACACATTTTTTCTGCCCTAAAATAGGCCTTTGGTTCGTGGTTTCAAAGAATCTGCAAATTTTCTCTGAAATACTGATTGGTCCGCAATCATCAAGAATGTTATATATAATTCACAGGCGTGTACATGTACAAAAAACTATTAACTAATTAGTTTACAAATTATCAGTATTTGTATCAGCCTATACATGTAGTATCTTATATAGGTTTTTTCCATAACAGCCTTATTGGCTCATCTCTAAACTCAAACAACTAAAATCATTATCTGATTACGTTAGAATTTTAGTATAATAAAAGTTTGCACTAGGAATAACTAATAGGCACTAGAAACCAATACAGTTTTAATTATTTATGGTAATTACTTCATGAGTTGTTACTCTTGATCAGGTAAATTATAGTGTTTTCCATTAGCAACAAAAGAACAAATATGTGATAGCCTTTGTGGGCTACAGGGACAACTTAACTGCAGTGGGAAAACAAATCATTGCATTGTATTTCAGATTGGAATACTCTAAGAAAGACATGGCTTACAGAGTATATGGAATAATTGACAAAAATACATATACACCATCTTGGGTGGAAAAATCCCAAAAAACCCAAGAAGAAAGGCCAAAAAATAGACATCATTCAGTTAGAAGTAAAAGTAATGGTATGTATAGCAAATACTTCAATTATATGTGTATCGGGATATTTGGTGAACTTAAAACCACTGATTGTCATTTGCAGTTTTGGGTAAATGTATCTACAGTCCAAATGCTGATTACACTATTTTGCCTTATTACACTATTTTGCCTTGTAACACTATTTTGCCTATACCGTTTTTTTAGGACTTCGAATTTTGTCTAATGGTTTGGATTGTTCGTACTTGGTTTTATTTTATTTAACTTTATTTTGTTTTTTGTTATTTTTTTCAGGCAAGTCGGTACCAAATGGAGATGATTTAATACCAGATTCACGTAATAGATATTCGGTAGTATATCCTAGATCTAAAACACCAGACTATACAGATAATGTAAGTAACATGACTAAGAATTTATTATTGTACAGAAAAGAAGGTTCTCAAAGTCAGGTTTTAGACTACTGCTATCACATTCTTGTCCCTATTGATTGCTATTTTGTGATGTTGTTAATTCCCATAAGATGGTTATAAATTGTTCTTGATTTCTTGCAATGTGGTGTAATAAATATGTAAAAGCTAAAAAAAATGTTTTTTTGATTAGAAGGTTTGGACCAGCATCCCTTAACTATGACTTTTAACAATAATCTCTTTGAAAAACTACCAATCTTTGTTAAATGAGCTTTCTCACCATTTCTGTATATGAGTCATGACCACTAATTTTAATCAAATATGTTTTAATAATATGTTTCTATTCAACAAAGTATACTGTATTCACAAGTATTTGTAATATATTTCAGGATGTCAGAGAAAGATTTAAGAACACTGGTAATGTTTGTGATGTTCATATGATTGAAAAGTAAGTATGTTTAGACTCCCTAAACTTGTATTTAATAAATTATGTTTGTAATGATCAGCAGATTTCAGTCTTAATTGCCTAATAAGCTGATAATAAATAAAACATGTTCAGTATTCAGCACTCAAAATTAACTCTGGCACTTGACAGAATCATGATAAAGCTGAAATTTGTATCTGATTATTGGTGATATTATTAAAATTAATTCAGCACAATTATATTGTCATTAAAGTTATTATTATACACATTTCTATAGCTCACTTTACAAGGACAGATCAAGACAATATTTCATTTACATAATAAAATGAGATAACAAAGAGCATACTTGATCAAATATATACCGATAAAGATGTATGAAAAGGATCACTGTGTAAAAACCTTTTTTGTCCCCCGCCTTTCGGAGAAAGCAGAAAATTTCCAGCCATGAGAATGTACTGAAGATGCTGCGTAGTGATCTTTTACCCAAGAACTGAAATATGCTTACTCTGAATCGTGTATCATATTTCACATTTCATTACCATATCATATTCATTTATTCTGTGTAAATTGCATTGGACATTCATAAAACTTGTCCCTGGTTTAACACACAGGCTTTGGATCAAAAGGTCTGTCTTTGACTTAAGTGGTGTGCAGGGCTGTCGGTAATTTTTCACAGATGATTAGCAGCACTGCTAATCAAAAAGTCCAATTTTGCCAAATTTGATTAGCAAATTTAAAAATTGATTAGCTGTTTTTCAGTTTCAACATAAAACACCTAAATAACAAGATTATTTTAATTTTAATTTATAAAAAATGATTAGATTTCATTCTTAAGATTTTTTTAGAATTTTAGCACTGCTACAGGTAGCTGTGAACATTATGAATGTAGACTTTTGGTTAGACCTTATGTCTGAAGCCAATTCTTGGCAGTGGATTTCGAAGTCCCACTCATTTTAATTCTTATTTCTTCGTTAGAAAACAATTTCGTCTGCTTTTTATCGTGTTTTACTATTTTTTTTCAATCGGAAGCACAGTATTTTACGAATAATCTCGATTAACTAGACGCACGCGATATAAACAATAATAGTTTACGGGAATTCTTACTTTGATTTATCATATTTAAATTAGTGAGACAAAGAAGCCTATTGAATTTCAGCAATTTCCGTTTATTACGTCTAGAGTTATGGCCCTTGTTTCACTTTATTGATCCTTGTTAACGCTCTGGGCGTATGTTTTGTTGCCTGGCAACCTATCTTACAATATGTTTACACATATTTATTTTTTATTTTTTATCTACAAGACGTGTTGGATACACTGAATTTATTTTTTTTTTCAAATTGAATACTGATATAATTACTCGAAATTGACATGTCTCGCATTGTGAGTGGTACACTTGATGCCTTATATCCGGTTTAATACAGTAGGACATTAAACCCCATTTCATTTCATTTTCATTTCATTTCCGGTTTAATAGTCCCGATTCATAGAGTTATGTCCCTGTATTATATTGTATTATGAATTGAGTCTGGGTAGTTCGAGAAGAAAATGTCACACGGAGAATTCCGTTTTGTTTATAAAATTTATTTGATATTTTATATACGTTAAAAGTGTTGAGAAATGTGGATAAATCTTTGTGTCAATATCCAAAATGACAGGCATGTTAATGATTCGCAGTTACTGCAAATCAAAAACGTTTCTGATTAGCAACGGACAAAATAGTATCGCAAATTGCGCTGCGATACTGGTTGTCGGCAGCCCAGGTGACATGGTGTATTGTTGTTTGTCCAACTTCATGGATTTCCCCTCTTCACTCAAGCGAATTATTGAAGTAAAATTGTACCATATGTTAGTCCCAAAATGACCTAGTTTGTGTTGAGTCGACCTTAAACCTCATTCCTCTCTCTTTAAGTCAAAATTACCCTTGCTAACGACTAAATGGAATATATTAACCTTATAAAGATGTCCATAGATATGCATTACTATTATGTTAGTCTCAAAATGACCTAGTTAGTGTCCAGTTTCTTTCATGTCTAAATTATCTTTGCTAACGACTAAATATTAAATTTGTAAAGATGGCCATACATATACTTCATCTTATGGTATTGATAAACGGAACATTTTATCCCAATTTTTGGTGTTTTCAATTTATTTCTTCTGTTTTTATTATGCCTGTTCCAGTCATTTTTATTTTTTATTTTGTTAGTAGGAAGGTTGCTAGTTGTGGGTAACAGTCAACTTTGGTCCTAGTCCCTGCAAAGTGGTCCTACTAATGCCCAAAATTTTGTCTGAACAAAAAAATTATTATCCGAATAACAGATCATCCAAATTTGGTTCCAAAAATGGCCATTCTTTGCTTATTTTTCCGTTAATATATATTTTCCAATTTCCGAGGTCGGTGTCAACTGAATCAATCTAATATTTTGTGGGGATTATCTGGGTACTTACCCATATCACAGAAAAAATTTGGTCCAAATCCCAGACCCAAGGGTTATCACCCCCTGCATGGTGCTCTTGCGGACACGCTCTTAAAGGCTATGGTACAGTCATATGGAAATTTATTTCATGTAGCAATTACAAATACATGTATGACTGGGAAAATTTGAAATCTGTCATGTCCAAGATTTGATTATTTATTAGTCTGATTTTACTATCCATACATGTATTATTTGAGACTTACTGATGATATATATTCTTTTCTTAACATCTTTCAGGTGGATTTTTGTAAGGTACAGGAACCAAGATGATGCTCGGAGAGCCCAGCAAATGTACAAGGATGAATTGGATGTCCGTTTTACTGATGGTAATAAAGGAAAATCATCAAAAGATAACACTGCCAACAACAGTAGTATGCTAAGCCCAGAAACACAGAGTTTTGATGGTTCCTTTGGCGGATCATTTGGAGGTGGTGTAGGAGGTTCATTTGTTGGAGCATCATCCGCCAGAACCCCATCAAATTTTGTAGAACGAAAGAAGAATGAATCATTCTCTGAAGAAAAAGCTAAAACTACAGGTTAGTCTGGTTTAAATTACATTTATTAATTAAGCAGGTGTTTGTTATTTCCTTATATACCAAATTTATACACAGGAAGCTGTTGACATTTGCGACAAAATGTGTAATATTGAATTATGATATTCTTGGCAATATTCTTCCATGAATCTGGGTTTTGGTGTTTGGGAAAATGTGATTTACATTAGGGGAGAGAGAGAGAAATGGGGTTTAACGTCCACTCGACACAAACTAGGTCATTTTGGGACTTACACATGGTTCAATTTTATTTCAATAATTCGCTTGCACATATGGGTCTTTAGCGGCGGAAGGAAACCAGGGGACCCGGAGAAAACCCACAAGGTTGGACAGGCGACCCACTCCTTGTCACATACAACCGGGGAATCAAAACCCTCGCCAGTTGACTCAATGATAGACCTTATGATACAGTGCACACATGCTAACCATTCACCCACCTCCCACCCCATTTACATTAGGACATTGTTGTGAATCGTGTTACCAATCATATTGCGGTACCTATTGCAATCTGATCATGATTGAAGTCAGAATACCGAAAACTAGTATATCTCCCTAATTATAGTAATTGATTAGGCCGCGGTTAATTAATTGTTAGTTTCTCATGACCCGCCCGCATGTCTGTTTTCATCCGTAATAATTACGCACTTCCATAATTATTTGGTCAAATTTAGTGAGGTCCAAAATTTGTCCTTTAAAACTATATTTGTTTGCCTTTAAATATGAACAATGAATTGATGCATTAAAATCCACTATTTTTCGATGAACATGACACCGTAGGTGATAAGTAAAGTACTTAAAAGTAGGCTAGAATGTGAATGTGAGTCCATCCGCAAAACGGAAGTGATAAATCCGTATCATATCTGTTATCCATACCAAGGAATGGTAGCTACAACATTTACCAAAAACCACATATATACTCTATAAGGCACTTGTCATTTGTAATAAAATTCACAGAAAGATATAAATGTCTTTTAATTCCTGCTAAATTATTTTTTTTACTGACTAGCAACGGTCCCAGAACTGCCGCCATGAGATACCGACTGGTTAACACTGCTTCACGCCCTTCATGGTATTTCATTAACAACACTATATAAACAGTCTCAAAAGGACACAGATATACAAATAAATGTAAACAGTTTGATTAAGATAGACAAAATGCTGATGTGCCAATGATGGGTTCAAAGTTGACGACAATTAACATACAGGCTATTGCCATGGCATTGGTACTATCTTCCCTCACGGCTAGAGAAAGACCACGTGTGTAGTAAATTCTTTGACTGACTTGTTAAATAATCTAACTTATTTTGTATTTAAAAATCCAAGTGTATGCTTTTAATTATTTATGTCAGAACAAATCATCAACCAGTTTGGAACAGGTCATTTTGTAACCTGTCAAAGTAGGGAAGGATAAAGAAATGAAGTGCCAAGAATGAATGAATTAACAAACTGTTAACTTAGAAGCATATCACTAATAATTTAAACTCATTTATTATGATCAAGTCTTCCGATGTGCTCAGATATTGTGCAACAGATATTTTAATCTATAAATATTTAATAAAAATGTGAAGAAATCGCAGACACTGGTTACCGTTGTGTTGGGTTTCCAACGACCAAGTAACTGACATTAGTTATTGCTGAAAGAGAAACAGCATTAACCTAAAAAGATTAAATTTCATCTCAATAATTAATAATTACCGCATGTAGCATGTATATTTCACAAACTCAGGTCATGAGAAACTGACAATTAATTAACAGCAGCCTTATATATCTAGTAATGATTTATTTGACCAAGTGGAAGTAAAACTAATGTCTTCATTATTCATTGATTTTAGTTCCAATTTTTTTTAGATTCAAACACGTTTCAAGTCTATATTGGAAACTTGGCTAAAGAAGTAACTGAGGTATGTAAATAAACAAGTATATTTTAAATTGATGAGAGCAAAATCATGAATAGCATAGTGTATTTATCGATAACCTGATATGCAACAAGACATGCTTCTCTTCATGCCAATGCTATAGATATTGTATTTTGTTCAACTTAATTACAGTCTTTACATAAAACTAATTGATATTAATTTTGTAGGTTGATTTGGTAGATATTATTAGTGGTAAACCAGTTACTCGTGTGTGTATTAAACGGATGAACAATGGTTCAAAAGTGTAAGTCTTACAATTGTATATACTATGAAGCAAGCAAACTTGACGCATATGAACAGATTGTGAAAAAAAATGCAAGCAGTGAACTGAACGGTGTTTACAAACTTTATTTCTGTTCATCTTCCATCCTTTTGTATAGAATGGTCATTGTGCTCTGCTTCAAAGTTAAAACTACTCAGTATGGTAATCTTCAGTATTCTTCAATTGCACTACTTGACTTAATTTAATTAACTTCCAGCAAATTACAATGACTTTATCTTGCCTTTAATGTTGATATAAAATGTCAGTTGTAATAATTGAATTTAGAAAAGATTCCATGACTATTTGTATCATTTCGTGGGACTCTACTACACCTGTATTTCCTGTCATGGATAGAAATTATAAAAATCAACCACTATGCTTCCACTTTATATCATCTGAAGAGGGTGCTGAATTTTGACAAATTTTCAATTCATATCATGTAAATACTGAATTAGTAAAACGAAAAAAGCCTGTCGAATTTGAACAATTTCTGTAGATGGCCCTTGTTTTAGTTTTTAGAACCTTGTGAACCTTCAAACAACGAAAATTATAATGTCATCTGTATGAAATTGTCTATTAAATTACCTACAAAAGAATAAATATGTGACAACCCTTGTCGACTGCTAGGACGATTTATCTGCTGTGGGCGTATGTTTTGTTGCCTGGCAACCTATCTTTGTATATCTTGCGACCCATTTCTGTCAATTTCTAGGTCCCAAATATTAGCGATTTAGCTCCTTTAAATGATGAATGATGAATGATAAACAGAAAACACATCAATTATAGTAAGAAACAAAGAATATCAAATTGAAAGTCTGTAAAGATATGGTGTTTTCAATTTTTATACGCCCACATTGAAATGTGGACGTATATTGCCGTCGGTCCGTCCGTCCATCGGTTCGACCGTCCATCGTCCACAATTTCTTGGGAACGCTCTAACGCCAAAAGTTATCATCCAATTGTTTTAAAATAGATATATGTTGTTTACATTAGTGAGATGAAGAAGCCTATTTAATTTCAATAATTTCCGTTTATTACGCCTAGAGTTATGGCCCCTGTTTCACTTTGTTGAACCTTGTGAACGCTCTAATGCCAAAAGTTAACATACGATCTTTGTGAAATTGATATGCAATATTTAAGTTAGTGAAACGAAGAAGCCTATTGAATTTCAACAATTTCTGTTTATTATGTCTAGAGTTTCACTTTATTGAACCTTGTGAACGCTCTAACTCCAAAAGTTATCATCCGATCTTTCTGAAATTTATATGCAAATTTTAACAATTTCTGTAGATTACTTCCAGAGTTGAGACCCGTGTTTCAGTTTGTAGAACCTTGTAAACCCTCCAACGACAAAATTTATAATCTGATCTGATTATTACCTACAAAGGAATAAATATGCGACAACCCTTGTCGACCGCTCAGACGATTTAGCTGCTGTGGGCGTATGTTTTGTTGCCTGGCAACCTATCTTTAAACTGGCATACCTTTTATAGTTTGTAATGGATTTAAAATCCCTCAAGTCATGATCACAGCCTTTTCTTTGAATTGAGTTTACAAATTTCTATTTAATTTTTTTAATTTTAGTGTTGGTTTTGTATCGTTTACAAGCCAGAAAGATGCTGACGATGTTATTGCAAAATGGAATGGAACGGTATGGCATGGTAGAGACCTTTTAGTACGGCACGGTAAACAGAGACAAGAAGGTTCAAAGGGTTTGTACTTTCAAATTATGATACCTTTCATACTTTATTATTATTAGGTGTCACAGCTCCATTGCCCGCGTTGGAAGAAAGTCGTTTTTTCCGGATTTGTAACCCTTTTTTAACTTAACGTCAAACAGTGGCTACTTTTTTTTTTGTAATAATTTAAAAATATTTTGGAAGCCGATATTATGTTCTTTTGTTCGATATAATTTTTATATACGTGTTCGTTTTATTTATTTCATAACCGTAAGTTGAAAAACGTCAATTTGCCGTGTTTTGACGTTACGCAGAAAAATTTTGTCACGTTTTTAAATGAGGGTACCCCACTTCAAATGCTCGGCGAGGTCACTCATTATTAATATTTCTTTTTCATTTTAATATCATTAGAAAGATAATTGAACGATCTTTCGATCGGTCAGGGGTGCTTTGTTGACATTTCAAAATACCATGCTTTTTTTTTAAGTTGAGCACTTCAATTCACATAATCTTTTTTTGAGGAAATTTGCCAATATAGCACCCCCGACCGATCGAAAGTTTGTTTTATTGCCGTTTCGATGCTATTAAAATCAACAAAATCGGATCATGTCAAGTGACCTCGCCGGGCATTTGAAAATGGTATACATCGGAAAATGTTTTGGAAAATAATTAATAACGTAGTTTGGCATGTGATGACGTCATTTCAACGCGCGAAGAAAAAAATAATTTCAAGTTCCTAAGACCCATATTCACGGTAAATTACGTCTCAATGCAACTCATTGTTCATTTATGAAATAAGCGTTATGTTATATGAATAAATGACTTGCCTGAAAAGACATAATGATAGATAATTCCATTATTTTGATGCCTGATCTCGACAAGGATCCACAATGTTTACATCACGTGACTCATATTCGCGCGCTTTTATCGAAGGGAAATTTCCTCTCGTCTCAGCTCCTATTACACACGCCTTTACGTTTAACACCAAATATTTTTCAACCGTTAAAAAATTGCCAAACATAGACAAGTATTTCAATGTTCTGAATTACTTAATTCTCTGTTGTTCATGCCTAATTTGAAGTATTTAATGTGCACACGAATGAAAGTGAAATCGGAAAATATCAACACGGTATGGGAGAACCATTTCCGGTTGCGACTTGTATTCGTCTGAAGGAACGGACATAGGATAATAATAACATGATTTCTGACCATTGTAATACCCAAATAAAGTTGGAATGGCAAAAGAATTAACACCAACAAAAAATAATTTAAATAATGGCTCAAATTCTGGAATTTCCGTTGACGATTTACAACATTTCGTTTGAGATTAGTGCCGTGGTAAGTCAATAAAATGGCCATACAGTTACAAAGGCAATTTATTCAATATTTTATCATTATATATCGGTTTTCATACTAATTATTTATATGTTTAATTCATTGTAATTTTGGGAAAATACATTTATTTAACACCAAATTTTATTTGTTAGCCAGTAAAAAACAAATTGAATCTAGGCCGACAAACACAGGGTGAAGGCTTTATTAAATTTAATAGGCCTAGATTTGATGTTGTTGACGAAAATATACGAATAAAAAAAGGGTAGTTGCTCCACGATAGTCTACATTTGGAGGAATAATGAAAATGTTCAAATGTAAAGTAGACCTACATTGTAAAAACAAAACAATTCTTCCAGTCAAAATCCTAGCATTAGTGCCACCCTAGGCCTACATAGTACATGTACCTTAGCCTACTGACTGTCGTATGGGTACCTACCTAGTCTTCTTTTAAAAGTTTTAGAGAATTATTTAGATGCACCACAAATAATTTGGTTTTTTTGGTCAATGTTGTTAGATAATAATGTATATACAAAATAGAAATGTTCTTGTAACATGTAAGCAATAGGCCTACATGCAGAGAACAAACAATAGTTTAACAACAGTTACCGGTATGTTATTTTTAAAATTATATAGTTGCTATGGCAACCACCCAAAGTTCTTAATATTTTACTAAAAATTATGCAATTTATAACAATTATACAATTTATAACATTTAATATCACATTGCTTTTAGATGCTAAAAGCTTTCTTTAAAATGGGTGATCAGTGATCACATGTTTCATTATGGTAAAAACCCGTACCATTGTTTTTCGTTTTGGTTGCTGACAACAAAATATATGTTAAATATACAAGAGTAAAGATATGTAATTTTTAATATTCACAAACTTCTGGACTTGTAAACAAAATTCACTTCAAGATTTCAATTCCTTCATATTTCATTTACAGTATGTCTTAATACCAGCCAAATAAATGGCAATTTGCTACCACGGAATGTTTTCAAAAGGGAACCTCTTTCCAGCTCTTGAGAGAAGACATATTTATAAAGATTTTGATTTTATTTATTTTTTAAAATCTTGCCCAATAGCTTCTGATTTTAAATAATACAATTATCAATATTGATGTCATAATTATTGAAAAATAATGTTTTTTTAAAAAAAATATACAGTGGTTGCTATGGTAACCACTCAAACTCCTTAATATTTTGCTCAAACTTATACAATCCATATCATTTGACATTATATGGGTTTCAAATATTTTAAAATGCTTATTTTTAAATGTGGTGATCACTTTTTGGGTCATGGTAAACGGCGTTGAAAATGGTCAAAAATTGCATTTTTTGTCCCCCGCCTATCGAAGAAAGCAGGGGACTATTAAAATGGGTTCGTCCGTCTGTCTGTCTGTCTGTCTGTCTGTCTGTCTGTCTGTCTGTCTGTCCGTCTGTCTGTCCGTCACACTTTTTGGGACACAATAACTCTCTTCCTAATTGAGCTAGAATGTTCAAACTTGGTGTATGTGTTTATTAGGTCAATGCCTTGATGGAGTTCGAAGATGAGCATTTTCCGCTTAGGGTAAGCAGAGATAAGCAATTTGATTGGTTGATGCTTTGGGACACGATAACTCTCTTCCTAATTGGGCTAGAATGTTCAAACTTGGTGTATGTGTTGATTAGGTCAATGCCTTGATGGAGTTCGAAGATGAGCATTTTCCGCTTAGGGTAAGCAGAGATAAGCAATTTGATTGGTTTATGCTTTGGGACACGATAACTTTTAATTGAGCTAGAATGTTCAAACTTGGTGTATGTGTTTATTAGGTCAATGCCTTGATGGAGTTCGAAGATGAGCATTTTCCGCTTAGGGTAAGCAGAGATAAGCAATTTGATTGGTTGATACTTTGGGGCACGATAACTCTCTTCCTAATTGAGCTAGAATGTTCAAACTTGGTGTATGTGTTGATTAGGTCAATGCCTTGATGGAGTTCGAAGATGAGCATTTTCTGCTTAGGGTAAGCAGAGATAAGCAATTTGATTGGTTGATGCTTTGGGACACGATAACTTTAGTTCTAATTAAGTGAGATTGATGAAACTTGGTGTATAGTTTCATTACAGTAATACCTTGACTAAGTTTGATAATGAGCATTTTCTGCTCAGGGTAAGCAGAGCGATACGCAATTTGATTGGTCGAGACTTTGGAAAACAATAACTCTCCTACTTTGATTGTCCCCCGCCTTTCGAAGAAAGCAGGGAACTATTAAAATGGGTTCGTCCGTCTGTCTGTTTGTCTGTCTGTCCGTTCCGCTTATGGTAAGCAGAAAAAACAAATTGAAAAAGAAACTATTATAAATTAATTAAATATGTAGTATGCAATAATGAATTGACATTTAATGACAGAAAGAAAACAGTGAACTTTGCACAACTTGCAGCAAGATGGAAAATAGACCCGTTGATACAACCAAACTCTAGATCTGTAGGCATAGAGCATGTTTTCCCCTTAATATGCTATAATTATTCCATCAAAAACATTGTATGCTTAGACTATAAGTAAAGATATACTGTTTGATTGTTCAATACTTTGTAAAAGATAATTTGTGATAAATTTATATGTGTCCTCTAATTATTTTCCTATTTCGGCGGGGGACATCAGCCTCACTGTTGGCTTGTTCCATTTTAGTTTAAAAATTCACAAACTTTTTGACATATTCCCATAATTTCACTTGTTTATCTCCATTCCTTCTTATTTTACTAATGACCCAAAAACGCCCCAAAAATAGGCAATTGTGTGTCGCGGAAAATTGTTCAAAAATGAACATATATTCAGCTCTTGAGAGAAGGCATTTAGATATTTTTACTATTTTTTTTTCTGTTTATCTTACTTGATAGCTACTGACTTTAAAATGCATAACAACCAGGTTCAATATTTCAGATATAACATGGACAAGACCATTTTTAATGAAAAAATTGACCAAAATCACTTTGACAAAATGGAATTTTTGAGAAAACCTATGTATTTTGGAGTTGCTGGGGAAATCAGAGTAATTGTTACACAAATGTGAAAATCGAAACATAATTAGCCTTAAAGTTGTATTTCATGAATTTACATCTACATTTTTGATAGTTTCGATACGAAATGAAATATAGCATTGCAAAAAACACCAAAAATGACTTTTTCAAGGTGTTTAAAAACCTTTCTTCCGCGAAAAGTCAAAAATCACAACTTTGAGCCTCCATAAAAAAAAAATGTTCATCCGATTTTGAATCTGTAAAAAGTTTTGTGAGAAGAATGATGAGATCTACTTGAAAAACTTATAAAATCAAATGTATAATCATAATCTCAAAATCACCTTTTCCACCTATTATTATGGCATTGTTTATTTTGATCATTTTGGCTATTGCTGTTGTATTTTTGTACCAGATTTTCCCTTAGACCCTAATAAATATTAAAAATAAACCCTACACTACCTTTTAAATTGTTGTGAATCCTCTTTTTACATGTCGTGATCTATTCAGATATATTCTGATAACTGATTATTTTGTCCATTATGTCATTGTCACTGGGTTTGCTGATTGATTACCAGTGGTTATATTTATTGCTATTGTGTGTGAATCTGTCCTCCTGTATCCTATCCACTATCAAATCCTCTTTAAGTTTTGGATGTTTTTATATACCCACATTTGTTTGTGGACTCTCTACAGGTCACAATCCTTTCCGATTTTGAAGAAACTTGAAATATAGGTTTATCTTCTAAAGATCTTGATTCCTTTCAATATTGGCATGTATCGGTTTAGTGCCTGACAAAGCCTGAATCCTTGCCTGACATTGTCTGTGACAGATGCCTTATTTCCAGGCCTGAATACAAAGATCTTGGTTTCATTCAATATTCGTGCATATCAGATCATAAACTTCCTGAATTATGGCCCTTGATTGTACCTCTAGAGGTAAGGTAACACTCTAATAAACCATAACACTCTAATGTTGGTTGAGTTCGAATTTAGTGAAAATCGGACCAAAACTGCCAGGCAAAATGGCCGCCCCTCGTACGCAAATAGTGTAGATATATGGTATTTCAAGGTTGTGGATGCTCTAGAGGACACAATTTTGATCCGATTTTGATGAAACTTGAAATACATGTTTATAACCCAAAGATATTGGTTCCTTTTGATATTTGTGCATATTAGATCAGAACTTCCTGAATTATGGCCCTTGATTGTATGAAAAATCATGTTTTAGCTTGTGGACCCTCTATAGGTCACAATTTTTATCTGATTTAAAAAAAAAACATGTTTGAATATATTACCGTTACACCCCAATGATGGATGAGTTCGAATTTTGTGAAAATCGGACCAAAACTGCTGGACAAAATGGTCGCTTCTTGTACACAAATAGTGTAAAAGTCGGTAATACCAAGATTGTGGACTCTAGAAATCACAATTTTTATCTGATTTGGATGAAACTTAAAATATATCTTTATATCCCAAATATCTCAGTCAATTTTGATATTCGCTCATTTCAGACCACAACTTCCTGGATTATGACCCCTGATTGTACGAAAAAAAATTTTGTTTACCTTTTTGTCTATCCATCTCTTGAAAAATGTTGGTTTATCTTGCCTGGCAACCGCTGGTTGATATATTTTGTAAACTTATAGTTTCAGAATTCGGGTCATCTAAACAATCTGAAAACAAAAACAATTTGCCAAACAGTATGAATACTGCCAGAAAAAAAGAGAAATCAGACGATGAAAAAAGCATAAGTAGCATTAGTGACAATTTTAATAAACTTCATGTGAACCCCACAATGAAAGATAGTAATGACAATAATATTCAAACATCAACACCAAGACAAATAGTTTGTACAAATGGCAGTAGTCTAAAAGTCACCAAAAACTGTCCTTCACCATTATTTGTTCCTACACAAGTCAGCAGACAAAGTTCTAGCTCATTCAAAAAAAATTTACACACCGATACAGAAGATACAATGCCTGCTTTAGAAGAGATGATGCCAGAACTGGAAGAGATGATGCCAGAACTGGAAGAAATGATGCCTGAGTTAGAAGATATTAAGTCACCAATAGAAGACAGTACATTTTCTAGTAATGGTTATGTGGATCAACCAACAGCAGTATTTGTTGGCAATTTTCCTGCTGGTACAACTGATGTAAGAATTCATTGTTGTACATTCATGATTGTTTGAATGTGGATGTGTGTATATTGCAGTAAAGTCTATGCTGTTATCTTTATTTTCCATCCAATTTTTTTATCAAACTTCGCATATGACTTATGTCTATGAGATCTAGATGAACAGTATTTGTCAATTAGTGGCTGAATTAATATTATAGCCAGTGAGTGACTTTGATCAAAAATAGCTTGTGAACACAATAGTCTGTATTTTTTATCTGTATTTGACTACTGCCATGCCAAAGCCTTAAATGACCACTTGCTTTAGAATAAGTTATCAAGTGAGGAAATAATGTGACTTGATCATGCTCCAATTAAAACAAAAAACTAATAACATTTAATATAATCAATCTATTGGCAGTCACATTAATTTTAATACACAGTATATCAGTAATATTGCCAAGCTTTACACCCATCACAATGATACAGGAATATATTGATTAATCAGTGTGTAGAATAATCAACTTAATGGATAACACTATGATATTTTATAGCAAATGATTCCTACTAGATTGGTAGCATTTATGTCAATTTGAGGTCGCAATAATATGGTACATTTTTTTCTTGTCGAATATGTAGTGAAATCACTTCAAATCAAAGATCACTGTCAAAGTGATAAGTGTATCATTAGAAATATTTTGCATGAGTGAAATTAATACAAAAAATGTGTATGAGTATGACCAGATATATTTATTGACTCAATGGAAAGTTAACTGTTTTAGTTCATTGTAGATAGAGAGAAGTGTGTTGTTATTTTGTTAGTAAATATAACATATATATAATTTTCAGAGAGAATTGTATGCCTTGTTTAATCGTTATGGTGTTCTACAAGTAAAAATGGTTAATAATGCATTAAACCATGAACGAGGCTGGTAAGTTGTTATCACATATCAATATGTCTGGGTTTTTTTACCATCTTGTAACTTTGACTAGAGCATTACATCAGGCATATTAAAATGAGATTGTGTGCAAAATTTGAGATAAATCTGCTAAGTCATCTCTAACAAGCTCTGCAGGTTTTCAAGCAGGTGTATTATGTTTGAATTTTGTGACTATATAGTATAGTTATTTTTAAAATGACATTTTCTTTGGTGAGAATGATAATGCCTCTTTATGTGTACTGATCCATATTCAAAATAATGTTCTAGAATGTGTGTTATTATTTGTGAAATGTTTTCACCTCAATCTTTCTTCAAATTTAGCACTAAAGCTTTCGTAACCCTGGAAGGATTAGATTGTGCTGTTGAAGCTATCTTAGATTTAGACCAGACACCGTATATAGATCGTAAATTATTGGTATCTGCACCACATGGTAATGAAATGTTAAAAGAAATAATTGATAGTAAATTACAGGAATATATGTCTGATACTGGATCATCATTTTGTTCATCTGCTCGAACTTTTTCTAATAGAAGTAAAAGCACCCCTCCATCAACGTGTAAGTAACCTATATTTTTAGTTATTTAAAATATTCTTTGACAATGTATGTTACAAATTATAATTATTATTATATGACAATATGAAGCATGGACATATTTAAGAATGAATCTTTTTGGTATATAACTATATCAAGCTAAATGAGATGCATATCATAGGCCCCATGAAACATGTAATAATGAAGTGTTTATGAGAAATGCACACATTTTACTACTGTTGATGATTGCTTTGGATTTTTATACGGCCGTATTGAAATGTGGTCGTTTATTGTCGTCGCCCCTGTCTGTCCGGCTGGCGTCTACAACTGCTTGTGGACGCTCTAGATGCTAAAGTTAATATCTGATTGACTTTAAACTTATACACAGTGTTTGAAGTCATTAGACAAAGAATCCTATTGATTTTCAGCAATTTCTGATACTTATTGCCAGAGTTATGGTCCTTGATCTCTTTGAGATATCTTGTTGATGATCTAAGAGTCTATGGTAATATCCAATTGACTTTAGATTTATACACACTGTTTAAGGTCATGAGACGAAGAAGCCTATTGATTTTCAACTATTTTCAATAATTACTGCCGGAGTTATAGCTCTTGACATCTTTGAAAAGTCTTGTAGAAGCTCTTGAGGCTAAAGTTGATATCTAAGAGGCTAAAGTTGATAGAAATTCTGTATTTTATTTCTAAGACATTCAAATTGGTATGCAACATATATGTAATAATCGAGATATCTAGTTTGAAGGTTTTTTTTTGTTTTTTTGTTTTTTATAACTTACATTTATGCATATTGAAATGTATGTAATTGTATATTTGTATATATGTTATAGTTTAACCATTATTTCTCATAATTCATATTGTATATACTTTTCTTTGTACTGGAGAGGGGTGATATAGGCTCTGTCCTGTTCCCCAATCCTATTCACTAGTTTGAATAAAATATTGTTTAAAATAAAACAAAACAAAAAAAACCTTCAAACTAGATATCTCGATTATTACATATATGTTGCATACCAATTTGAATGTCTTAGAATACAGAATTTCTATTTATGCACAGTTGTGTTTGTTCTGTAACTTAGAATTCATCAGTTTAAATGCATTTTTGGATAAACTGTAATTAGACAGAACTTTAGTTAAAATTGATCATTTTGAATAATCTGAGGATCAAAATGTATTTTTTTTATTGTAACCCAAAATGGAAATTTCTTGGATTCTAATTGGTCAAAAAGTGGCGTTGAATAAGTATAACAGTCCTCTCAATTTCATTGGCGACTCACTGCATATGAATATTTTCTCGGCCTCTAATTAATGATTTAAGCGGTATCAACTGGACAATCACAGTCCTCTGAATTCTAAACAGTAATTTTAATTTTGTATGATCTTAATACACTATACTTAACCATTATTCTGGCATGTTTAATTCGGATTTCTAGGTCAAGATGTCACTAACATGAGTTCCCAGGAATCAGCTGCTTTATTAGAAACTTTTACTCATATAATGGCCAAGATGACAAGCAGAAAGCCACAACCGATTGAGGTCGGAGATGAGATAACATTATGTGTGACTTCATGGTTAATAGAACAGTTCTACTTTGCTCAAAATGGAAGTGATGTATGTTATTTTATTGTATCTTTAAATTTATAAAGGGGAACAATTGTCAAAAATGATGGTTGTCAACTTCTAGAATTATGACATTATATTTATAGCTGTTTCATAGTCAGACACTTGTTTTAGGAAATTTGAATTGTACAGACATTTATTGTCCCCTGCCTTTCGCCCTTGTCGTCCACTATTTGTTTGTGGACACTCTACAGTTCACATTTTTTATCCGAGTTTGACGAAACTTGAAATTTAGGTCTATCTCCCAATGATCTTGGTTCCTTTCGATATTGGCATGTATCGAACCATAACTTCATAGATTATGGCCCCGATTTTGATGAGACTTGAAACACATATCGGACCTGTAAAGGTCACAATTTAATCCGATTTAAAAAAAAAAACATTTGAATATATCACCGTTACACCCTAATGATAGTTGAGTTCGAATTCTGGGAAAATCGAAAATGAAACTGCCTGACAAAATGGCTGCTCTTTGTACACAAATTGTGTAAAAGTATGTAATACGAAGGTTGAGTTTGAATATCGTTAAAATCGGACCAAAACTGCCGGACAATTTATGTTTATATCACAAAGATCTTGGTTCCTTTTGATAATCGTACATATCCGAACGTAACTTCCTGGATTATGGCCCCTGATTGTTCAAAAAATCGCATTTTGGAATTGTGGATTCTCTAGGGTCACAATTTTTTATACGATTTTAAAAACCGTTTAAATATATCACCATTCCACCATAATGAAGGATGAATTTGAATTTTGGGAAAATTGAAAATGAAACTGCCCGACAAAATAGCCGCTCTTTGCACGGAAAGTGTGTAAAAGTGTGTAATATGAAGGTTGTGGACCCTCTAGAGGTCACAACATTTATCCGATTTTGATGAAACTTAAAATATATCTTTATATCCCAAAGATCTCAGTCCCTTTTAATATTTGCGCATTTCAGACCATAACTTTATGGTCCCTGATTGTACGAAAAATCACGTTTGTTTTTAGCTTGTTCTCTGTCCATCTGTTGCAAAATATGGGTGTATCTTGCCTGGCAACAGCTGGTTTGAAATTGTTATGAGTTGGTTAGCCCTTAATTGTTATATTGATTGAATATTTGTAGAAACACTCAGTGAAGGAGTTGTTAGATATATCAAGAAATATACAGAATTCAGAGAATCATCTAGGTAGACCTAGAGGACTAGGTAGATGTGTAGCTCTTTATATGGGACAGTGGTATAGGTAAGTACACATAGAATACTTTAAAATGAGTTAAATGTAGACAGTTGGAGATTGGATGCTCAGATTGTTAAAGTTGCAATTTCATATTTTTAAGTTATATTTTTAAAATTTATTAAAATAAAGCCTTAAAATAGATGGTATCTATAAACAGTCCTACCTTGTTAAAGAATAATTCTATTAATCCTATAATTCACTATTGCCATTTGAGAAATTGGCAAAAATATCATTTTCATCTTCAAATTCCAACGTTTGAAGATAACTACTCCATGGTGGAGAATAGAAAACAAGGGAGGTAATTGGGAGGTAATTGTGTTATTATTTCCGGTGTAAATGAGTTTTAAGTGTGAGATTGACACCTATGATCGTATCATAGTGAGTTGACATCCTATTGACAAAAGACATAGAAAAAATTATGTTTTGACTTTCTTAGGAAATATGAAATTGTAACTTTAAAGTTATCTTTCACTTGCCTTTAGATTTATGCACTGTTTATGTTCATTAAGAAGCCTAGTGGCTAAAGTTATTGTCTGATTAATTTGAAATTTATACAGTGTATATGTTCATGGGACTAAGAATCCTAAATTCGAACAGCTAAAATTATCATCTGATTGCCGGTACATGTTTTTTTGTCCCCCTCCTTCTAATTGAGCTAGAATGTTCAAACTTGGTGTAGGTGTTTATTAGATGAATGCCTTGATGGTGTTCAAAGATGAGCATTTTCTGCTTAGGGCAAGCAGAGATAAGCAATTTAATTAGTTTTATGACACGATAACTTTAGTTCTAATAAATTGAGAGTGATCAAACTATAACATTCCATAACGAGCATTTTCTGCTCAGGGTAAGCAGAGCGATAAGCAATTTGATTGGTCGAGACTTTGGAAAACAATAAATCTCCTTCGAATTGAGCCACAATGTTCACACTTGGTGTAGGTGTTTATTCGGTGTATGCCTTGAGGTAGTTCGGCGATAAGCAATTTGATTGGTCGAGACTTTGGAAAACAATAACTCTCCTTCTAATTGAGCTACAATGTAGGTGTTTATTCGGTGAATGCCTTGATGGAGTTCGAAGATGAGAATTTTCTGCTATGGGTAAGCAGAGATAAGCAATTTGATTGGTTGATGCTTTTGGACACGATAACTTTAGTTCTATTTAAGTGTGAGTGATGAAACTGCGAATATAGATTCATTATATCATTACCTTGACTAAGTTCGATGATGAGAATTTTCTGTGTGGCTAAGAAACGATAAACAATTTGATTGGTGAAAATTTTGTAAGATAACAACTCTGCTTTTAATTATGGTAGAATGTTTAAACTTGATGTTCATTAGGTGAACTGAATGTCTTGACTGAGTTCAATGATCAACATTTCCGGCTAAAGCTAAGCTCTCTTAGCAATTCCATTTTATTTTAATTCTATCTGATAGAAGTGATAAAACTTAGTGTATAGTTGATAATCAGTTTGATTGCTTGATACATTTGAAAAAGATAAATGTACAATTAATTAATATGTGTCATCTATTTATTTCTGGATTTCGGCAGGGGACCTCATGCTCACTGTTGGCTTGTTTTATCATACGCCCACATTTTCATGTGGACGTATTATTGTCGTTGCCCCTGTCTGTCCCGACGTCCTGTCCGTCCATCCCAAATTTGTTTGTGGACACTCTATTGGTTACAATTCTTATCCGATTTTGACGAAACTTGAAATATAGGTTTATTTCTAAAAGATCTTGGATCCTTTCGATTTCAGCATGTATCGTATCAAAACTCCATGGATTATGGCCCCTCAAGAGGTCACAATTTTTAATCCAATTTTAAAAAGCGTTTAAATACCTTATGGTGGTCGAGTTCGAAAATCAGACCGAAATGGCCACTCCTTGTACGCAAATAGTATAAAAGTATGTAATACTAAGGTTGTGAACTCTCTAGAAGTCACAATTTTTATCCGATTTTGATGAAACTTAAAATATAACTTTATATCCCAAATATCCCAGTCCATAACTTCCTGGATTATGGGCCCTGATTGTGCAAAAAAAATAAATACGATGGACTTGTATTTGTCCGGGAGGCCATTTCAGAAGGGCCTTGGTTCGATGTGACTCTGATCGTTTTTACCTAAAATTGATTGTTCCACAGAAAGTTAATACAATTTGCTACCAGATGGCGCCATTAACCGGGGTTCGTTGAAAAAGTGACTTAAATCATTCTTCCCCGGGGCTGTTCATATGTCATTTGTTTTTTGAATAAATGATTTTCCTTGATCGTTGAGATCCAAAATACATAACCTTAGATTTGAAAATATATTCAGACTGTGGGGAAAATCTATTTGTTTTCCAAGACCGGATTATACATATAAGCTGATGAATGGAGATGAGAGAACAGAATACACCAAAATAGTAATAGCCGATTGACACACTGTAATAGTTAACTTTTTTTATAATTTATTATGGGCTTATGATAGAATTTTAGTTTTCCATGTCGTCGGTCATATGCTTCAAGATAACTTGTTCTCTATCCATCTCTTGCAAAATGTAGGCGTATCTTGCCTGGCAACCGCTGGTTATACATATAATAAATGTTAGCACTTGTAGTAATAAGAAGGTGATCAAATTTTAATTGTTTCTGATAATTATTTCATGGAAATTACTCTTGATCAGTTTTTAGTGTCCTGTAAGTAAGATAATAGATATTCATCCACTGTCAACCTGTCTTTGTGGGTGTTAAAGGGTCATAAGATTTTTATTGGTTTATTTTTTTATGAACAGAGCGTGGATACTAAAAATTGATGATCAACCAAAATATGGCAATGTAAAAGTATTTTATGTCGATTATGGTAATGTCAGTATCATTCCATTGAGTAATACCAGAGTTGTACATAGTTCAGCATGGGATTTACCAGCACAAGCAAAACCTATTAGAATTATGGGTAAGTTCATTTCATTTCTAAGACTTCCTAATGTCAATATTGTTGTCGCCTTGTCTATCCATACCCACTGTCCAAGGGGATAATTAAGAGACATGTCAAATAAACATTTGTGTTTCAAGCTGAATGCGCATTTATGATTAATCCTCTATATTTTAAAATTTGACATTTTACGTTATCTTGTCTCAGGTGAAACTGGATTTAGTGAAAAAGAGCTGGTTGAGAAACAGCTTTCAGTTACAGTGACCAACTTATTAACAGTGGATAAGGTATTCATAATTCTTCTCTTAACTTTTCGTATAAAATCATAATATTAGAGTGGGGAGAGGGGTTGCTGTTTGTACTCTAGTTTGGTTGATGACATATTCTGCTTAAAAGACAGAATCAGAAACAAAATATATTACAAAATATATTAATTTTACAGTATGAGAAACATAATATGTGAATTTTACAGAATCAAAGACGAAATATATTATTTAAAGAGAACGAGATCTATTCAAATCACAAGTCTTAATGATATGACAGAAATTGAGTTTATTAATATAGATAGTATCAATTAATGTGGAATTTTGTGGCCGCGGTCTATCTTCATGAGGTTTGAGGGTAAAATGTATAAGATTATCTAGGTTTAACCATAGTATAACCAGAGTACCCAAATTGTAGAAAATGTTCATGAATTCTCACTGGTTAAACCAAGTTAAGAAATGAACCAAATCTCTACGACCTCTTCAGAGAATATAGAATTCCGCCGACATAATAATTTGAAGAAAAGAATAAAATAATAATAACAGCTACAAATTGAACATTAAAATAACAGCATAAATACTAATGACCAACAATACTAATGATGAAAAGATAATGAACATATAACCAATCAGGAATCAAACAGGAACATAACCAATTAAGCTTTCATAACCATTAAACATACCAAGCCTGAAAAGAGAAAAATAAAACCCGACAAAGTATCGCAAGGCAAAAAGAGGGCGGGATTTGGGCGGGAAAATTGATGAGTTAAATCAAGCAAAAATTTGACTGGGTCTTCTTAAAAACGATAACAGTGAAAGTGGGGCTGGGCAGACGTCGTCTGTATTACGTCACAGTCAACGTGTGAACTACGTCATTTATTTTCCAAATACGGTCATGTCACGTAACGTGCTATTGCCCAAACATAGTCAATTTACCTCCGGTATGATCACGTGATCGATCACATGACCAAACGGGATCCCGTTCCTAAAATAAACACAACTATGGGGTAAACCATAGTTGATATTATTTAAAGAGAACGAGATCTATTCAAATCACAAGTCTTAATGATATGACAGAAATTGAGTTTATTAATATAGATAGTATCAATTAATGTGGAATTTTGTGGCCGCGGTCTATCTTCATGAGGTTTGAGGGTAAAATGTATAAGATTATCTAGGTTTAACCATAGTATAACCAGAGTACCCAAATTGTAGAAAATGTTCATGAATTCTCACTGGTTAAACCAAGTTAAGAAATGAACCAAATCTCTACGACCTCTTCAGAGAATATAGAATTCCGCCACAAGCAAATTAACCACAGTGAATTTGTCCCCCAATTCTATCGAAATTCGTGCAACCCACCACGGGCATGAAACCGTGAACACACCATACCACGTGCTCAAATATACGAACTAAAAGTTCATAAAGCCCACCGTACCACGGGCATGAAACCGTGAGCACGCCATACCACGTGCTAAACAATACGAACTAAAAGTTCAAAAAGCCCACCGTACCACGGGCATAACACTGTGTGCACACCGTACCACGAGCACACCGCTTGGTTAAAACATAGCCCACCGTACCACGGGCATGAAAACCGAGAGCACACCAAACCACGTGCTCAACTATACGAACTTAACGTTCATAAAGCCCACCGAACCACGGGCATAACACAGAGTGCACACCGTACCACGTGCACACAGCTTAGTTAAAACATAGCCCACCGAACCACGGGCATAAAAACGTGAGCACACCATACCACGTGCTCAACAATACATACATAAAGCCCACCAAACCACGGGCATAACACCGTGCGTGCGCATCGTACCCCGAGCACGCAGCGTATGAACATAAGTTTAAGACAGCCCACCGTACCACGGACATAGCAAACCTAAACGTCAACACGATTTAAAATTACCAACCTGCTGTTTAATCTTCTTTGAGATCGACAGCGGCATCAAATTTTACAGAGGTGGGGTGGGCTGTAAAAGCATTTATAGCCTGTATGAAACTTGCAATCAAGCGATCCTTGCCAGAATTCGTCACGTGAACACCATCGCCTCGAAAAAAATGTGGAGTGAAACGTGTGATACTGTGAGATATAATATGACCAGGGGGATTATTAACTACGGCCCTACGGCCTTCACGATTAATCCTCTTTCGTTTAATGTCCAAAGCTCTAAGAGCATGATTTACCTCTCCCTCACTTAAATTACAAGTTTTATCGTTAACTCCCCGCCACGTGAAACGAGGGAGTATATCCGACCATATTAAAGAAGTTTGAGGAAATATCTCCCTCAAGTAAGCCACATCCTTTGCTATTGACTTGGTCAAATCAAAAATAGACTTATCAGTTAAGTCGTTCCCTCCTAAATGTAATATAAGCATATCAGGAGGTCGCTTAGCTTGTAGCATCAAAAACTGTATGTTTGGTAATAACCCAGCCCAGACCCCACCTCTTTCTCCCTTCATCTGCCATGTTTCCTGCAGCACACCAGTAGCTTCAGCTCTGTGTTTAGCCCAGAAAATAATGGAACTTCCCACAAACCAAACAGTGTTACGTGTATCTACAATTAGAAATATGGCGTGTTATACCTATACTATAGAGTACAATTACAAGCGAATATAATTTTTATACGCGCTGGATTTCCACCTGCCCATTCTCATGATATCCTCCTCCTTGTAACCGCGGCTAGCAAGGTCCGTTGCCCTACCTATCCTGAATGAATGCGATTTGAATCGACATGCTGGGAGATCCAAAGATTTAGTTGCTTTGAATAGAATTGCACAAAATTGACTTCTTGTTAATGGTTTCTGATCAGCATGAGAAAAGTAATATTGAGCGTCTTGGGGTCTCATTCGATCAAAAGAGATGATAGCTCTAACGGGGCACGTAGAGTGATTCAACGCTGGTATACGTAAAGTAGTCGGTGGCCCTGACTGATTGGTTTTTGATGATGTTATTCTGATCAGCAAACTACGTTCGCTACCAATTCCCTCGATAGTGACATCGCCTTGACGAAGAGGGCGATCAGCATATGTCGGATCAGAATACACCAACTCACCAATACGCATCAAACCATAATAAGCCAACTTAAATGCAGATTCAAACAAAGTTGCCTCAAAGGAAGTATAACAAATAGAAGGTAAAATCGAACAAACAGCTCCTAAAATATTTAGAGTTAACGGTGCCCTTATATCCTTAGTGACTCGTTGTCTTCTATAACCAACCAAAATCTTTTTAACCAAAAAATGTGATGTATAATCATTAAAGTTCTGAATTTTGTTGAAAAAACTGATTGCCGACAAGTAAGACGTGATTGTTGCAGGAGCATAACCCTGATGGAAGCATGAGGAGATATAACATATTAAATCCTGCAATGACGCCTCAGACAATGAGTTTCCTTTACGGAATTTATTAAAATGTGTGATAGCTTGCACATATAATATTCTGGTGTTAGGAGCCAAGCTTGATTCAAGTAACTTTAATGTGGTTCGCTGAATATCTGCAAGACATGGTTGGGTACTGGACTGGGTTCTAGCTGTGCGTCTGGTGCCAACACACGAAATCGATCCATCTGAAAACGAGAGAGACTGTCTGCAATACCGTTATGAATGCCCTCAACGTGCTCAGCTCTGATGATTATATTATTTGAAAAACAAATTAAGGTTATTTCGCGCACAAGTTTCATAACATGTTCAGATTTTGATGTCATGGAATTGAGAATTTGTACAACTGCTTTGTTATCTGAATGCAAAAGAATCTTTTTATTTCTAAAATTAGGAGTCCAAATGAAAAATGATACAAAAATTGGGAATAATTCAAGTAGCGTTATGTCATCTAACAGACCAATCGCTTCCCACGTTCGTGGCCATGCAAGGTTAAACCACTGTCTGTTAAAGTATGCACCGCAACCTAAATTTTTCTGTGCCGAACTATCAGTAAATAGATGCAATTGTGCGTCCGTCGACCAGAAACGATCATGAAACAAGGAAATACCATTATATCCCGACAAGAACGTTTGCCACATCCTTAGGTCGCTTTTTATACCAGTTTTTAGTCGAATGTGATGATGAGGCTTTGATAATCCGCATGTCGAGTCGATCAATCTCCGACAAAATGGACGGCCAGGGACAATTACTCGACACACAAAATTAAGCGAGCCTATCAACGACTGTACCTGTTTAAGAGTGCACTTGTTACACCTTAGCATTGATTCGATTTTGTCCAAAATATCCTGAATCTTATCATGTGGAATGCTTAGTGTCATATTAAGCGTATCAATATGAATGCCCAAAAAAGTTAAAGCTGTTACCGGACCAACAGTTTTTTCCTCGGCAATCGGAACACCTAAGCTTGTTAGACAATCCTTGAAAGTGTTCATCAATAATGAGCATTCATTAGAATGTGGAGAACCCCCAAACATAAAGTCGTCAAGATAATGTAGCAATTGATCACTGCCAGCTTCCGAACGAACACAATATTCTAAAAATCTAGCAAATTTTTCAAATGTTGAACAACTTATAGAACAACCAAATGGCATACATTTGTCAAAATAATACAAATTGTTGAAAGTAAAACCTAGCTGATCAAAATCTTGCCTACGAACTGGAAGTAGTCTAAATGCACTTTTAATGTCAGATTTACCCAAAAGACAACCCTTCCCTAATGATTGCACCATGCCTAGTGCTGTATCGAAAGGCGTATATTGTACAGAAGCCATTTCCGGGCTAATAAAATCATTAACTGACTGACCAGCTGGATACGAAAGATGGTGAATCAGACGAAATTGACCAGCTTCCTTTTTTGGGACTAATCCAATGGGCGATAATCTTAAAGTAGGAATAGGTCGCTCACTAAAAGGCCCTTCGATTCTCCCGGCAGCTAACTCAGCTTTTATTTTCTCCTGAACCACTTCAGAATTTTTTAAAGCTGATTTCAAATTCTTAACATCTGAAGGTTCACGTGGCCCAGTATAATGGAGCGGAAAACCATCAGAAAACCCCTGCAATATTTCCTCCGCCTCTAGCCTATTCGGATAATTATTCAACTTAAACCGCAGATGATCAATGTTGATTGGAGACTTAGCAAGTGAAAAAGAAAACCAACTGGAATTATCTAACGAATCAACAGAACTTTGAAACACATTATAGCAAGAACTTGAACGAACGAAACCACCAGAAGAACTAGTATCTGGACGACTTTCCCCTACGAAATGAACCCCGCTGAAAACCCCTATTTGCTGTTTGATTGAATTGTTTATTTGTTGACCTGGGATCCTGAAAATCAGATCCAGTTCCACGATTATCAACAGCTGTGGTTTGCTTCAAGCAACTGCTCTTACCATGACCATGGGACCCGCAATTCCCACAAGAATGCTGATATTTACATGGATTATATGAACAATAACCTTGTTTATTGAAATCAAAACAGAGAAAAGGTTTAATGCCTTCTTTCTGTTTATAGCTAATTTGTGCACCGTACTCCGAATGATTCTTTGGCCTAGTTACCATGAGGCGCATCCAGAGATCTGGGTTTACTCTTGCCCAAGACTCACATGTATGCCTCTGTTGCCTCAATCGAAATTGCTCATCATACGAGCGCCACGCCGCAACAGGATACCTCGTGGAAGCTTCTCTTATTACGGACATATACTGCAATAAATCCCCTATTCTTTCAGGAAATTTCTCCCAATATATTCTGGCAAAAATTATGAACGCATTTGTCCATCGATCGATGTCCAAAATCTTCTCCGTAGGCTTCGGCTTAGTTACGATGGCTCCTTTTTCCAAATGTAGGACCGTTGTCAAGTTATCTTGATACTCAGTACCCACCTTAAGTAAATGTGCTAAATTTATGTATTGACACGACCAAATTTTATTTCTTATTGCAACGGGTACGTGTAAATAGAGCGAATCGTCCGCCGCAGATATTACACGTGGCGGCTCTTCCAAATCATAGGCGTTAAACTCTGTGCCAACTACGTTAGCCTGCTCTGACTCGGCTACTATTGGACAGTCATTAGACAAATCAATAGTCCTAGGATTATTAGGCCTAGCAACATAATGATAAGTGTCATTGTTTAAAACTGTAAGGCCCTGTTTTTGAGTTGGAGCAAGATTTGACTGATTCTGGGCCTGGTAATTAGGCCTAGGCCCGTTTGAGTTTGAAGCTACAGTACTCGCAGTAGCGCGTTGATTTTGAAAGAAATTTGTTGATCTTAATGCCTGCTCAAAATCTACAAAACCGTACTCACCCGGAGTATGCGTCTCATTGTTTGTAAGCCTGCCTCCGGTGGCTTGATATCCAGAACAGGATGGCAATTCTTGTGACACGTCCATATCTGTAGGCCTATCACCGGACTCTAAGGCATCTTCGGGGAGCGGAGGGCATAATTGTACATATTCAATAGGCCTATCTGAAGCAGTTTCAGGCCTCGGTATAGTTGTCGTTGATGACTTGGCCCTAGACGGTCTGCCGACAGGCCTTTTCCCTTTCTTCGATAGGCCTAAAACATCCGAATTTTTTCCAACTTTTCCGTTTTTCCCGATCGGCCTATTTAGCTGAACATCTCGCAAAGTAGGTCTCTTCGACATCTTGAAATACAGATTTCTGTCGGATGATTTTAATCAATCGATGATTAAATTACAATGAAAAATTGATGAGTTAAATCAAGCAAAAATTTGACTGGGTCTTCTTAAAAACGATAACAGTGAAAGTGGGGCTGGGCAGACGTCGTCTGTATTACGTCACAGTCAACGTGTGAACTACGTCATTTATTTTCCAAATACGGTCATGTCACGTAACGTGCTATTGCCCAAACATAGTCAATTTACCTCCGGTATGATCACGTGATCGATCACATGACCAAACGGGATCCCGTTCCTAAAATAAACACAACTATGGGGTAAACCATAGTTGATATTATTTTAGAAGGTGAAACCAGATACATACCAATACAAACCTAATGTTTATCACGCTTATTTAATTACTTACTCAAGTTGTTTTATATTACAGTGTCCAGTATTTGAAGTAACTGTCAGTGGTATTGAGAGTTGAAAGATGTTTGACTCAGATAAAGTGTTTGGTGAAGTATATGGCTGTCGTATAACAATCAAATTAATTTACATTAATTTCTTATGTCTTTTACACCGATTGGTTAAGTTTCTTTGTTGGTTGTCTGTATTGGTTTATGTAAAGGGAATCTGTACTTCATATACAATAATGTCAGTTTTCTTTAAATCGTCAACTTACATATGAAGAGTCCAGGGGAAGAACAATCCAAGTCACATTTTTGTCTTTTCGCATAAACAACTGACTTCCACTTTTCAACCAAATTAAGGTCAAATAAATACGATGGACTTGTATTTGTCCGGGAGGCCATTTCAGAAGGGCCTTGGTTCGATGTGACTCTGATCGTTTTTACCTAAAATTGATTGTTCCACAGAAAGTTAATACAATTTGCTACCAGATGGCGCCATTAACCGGGGTTCGTTGAAAAAGTGACTTAAATCATTCTTCCCCGGGGCTGTTCATATGTCATTTGTTTTTTGAATAAATGATTTTCCTTGATCGTTGAGATCCAAAATACATAACCTTAGATTTGAAAATATATTCAGACTGTGGGGAAAATCTATTTGTTTTCCAAGACCGGATTATACATATAAGCTGATGAATGGAGATGAGAGAACAGAATACACCAAAATAGTAATAGCCGATTGACACACTGTAATAGTTAACTTTTTTTATAATTTATTATGGGCTTATGATAGAATTTTAGTTTTCCATGTCGTCGGTCATATGCTTCAAGATAAGAATAAGTTCTAATTGATTTATAATTGAAAATATTTATATTAGATATTAGCATTGTTTTACTGCATGTTAGAAATGAAGTTCAGGTTCCCTTTGATAAACCATATACATGTATGTTTTAAAATGTAAGCAACTAAGTTGTGTTGTTATTTTAATTGGGTTTGTTATATTGATGATATGGTAATAATTTAATAATTATGTTTTGAAATGAAACCATGTATGTAATGTTTTAATTGGGTTTCTAGTAAATTAATGGTTTTAAAACAAAAGATACCATTCTCATTCTGTGCCATAATCAAGCCTAGTATTTTCAGCAAAGTCTCTGATTCTCATTTGCTTAAAGATTATTGCAGATAATTATTTGAAATCGTGCATTCCAAACATTTTCACTTGCCCATTTGTTAGACATGCTGATGGTCAATTTGTTTAAATATAAAGACATGTTTTAAAAAATCTTGTTACTAACATGAGAAAGTTCCTCAGGATTTCCCAGAATAGTTTTCCCTTGTTAGTGTGCCTGGCAAGGTTCCATGTATATGTTGACGTGAACATCTAAACCTTAGTAGTTGGAATTGGATGAAGAGTAGGCAGAAATGCTGCCGTCTTGGTAAAGTTACGGTTATAGCACACTACATGGCTTATTAGCCCAGTTGGTGCAGAAATTCCATATAATTTAACAGGTTTCTTTTTATTGCTGTTGTCTTGTACAGCAACCTTTTCCCCCCATTTGTTTTCCTTTTCCTTTGCATAAAACAAAAATGTTTGAATTTTAAAATTATGGAAAACTTTGGTGTAGTGTTTAGTTTGTATATGTATTATTTGAGGGCAAGCTTTTTTAAAGGTGTTCACTTTCGATTGTTTGTTTATGTTTACATAATCCAGCAGGACTTGTTAACACATAGTTCTTGTTTCTGTTCTGTTCATCTTGGCACTATAGCTGATACTGGTGAATACTTGTGTAGTATGAATACAACTATGGAGTCCATACAAAGGGAGCTTTTTACTCGCTTCATGCTCCTATATGAAGGCATCATTGATTGGCACAAATCCAAATCTAGATTTGTTTGTTTCCTATAATTTTCAAATCTAGATACTGGTAATATGGATACCTAGAATACAAGTAAACCGTTGGACATGTCGGTCTACCACTGACCCGCAACTGGAAAGGCAACCTCAGTTGAGTTCCATGGCAATCAAACATGGCCTTAAGTTCTGTTCAGAAGTGCATAAATTGTTTTGTAATGTAATATGGTAGACAACCCAAATTGCCCATTTGCTTTTTCCGTTGTTAAAATGTAATTAAACCTTACAAGTATTTGATATCAAATCAATGAAATATTGGTAAAATATCGGTTTTGGTGGTATGGAATATGCCAAGTTGTATCATCTGATTAATCTTATGAAAGATAATATATATCTTAATATGCTTGTGGCTTTAATCAAAAATCACTTAACAATCTTCAAACATAAATTATTAAAGTAAAAAATTATATTATTAATTAAAAAAAATTATTGCAAATGGTCTACCATCAATGATGAGCTAAAATGCATCATGAGCAGATCCATATGGCTACCATTTCAACTGTTAGATTAAGTGGAAATTTGCATTGGTTTCAAAAACACCGAATTGTCATGTTTTCCAGAACTTGAATTGGTATCAGAAATTGACATTTCAAAGGGTGTTGTATCATACTAATGGGAATATTTTTTCCTTGAGCTTGAAATAAATAAGTCATTTGTGAAAAACATTTACATGTTATTTATTTAAGTTCTACATCTAAGAGTCCTATAAAGATTTCCTTAATTCTTATATATTAGAAATATATATTTTAATAATTTCCATTATACTTATCAATTAAAAATATATATTAAGAAGGGCAAGTCTTAAGGGGTGAGGCTACCCGAAAAATGCTTTCTGAAATTCTAAAGCTAGTGAATTGAAGATGGCACAAGTAGTTAGGAAATGTAATAAACACGAGAAAACTAACATTAAAAATAAAGAAAAAAAAGTTGTTGCCAGTTGGAAAAAGTATGAAAAAAGGTAGGTACACCATATCTCTGGCACTAATAATTAAAGATATTACATTTCCTATCTACTTGTACTATTTTCAATTCAATAACATTAACATTTCAAATTAAAAAATTTCTAATAGCCTCCCCCCTTAATGAATAAAAGGAGGAGTACATATATTATTTTAAAAATTTCATTAATACTTACATATTAAAACAGATATTTAGAGAAAAATAAAGTAATAAAAGTAAAAGTTCTAATAAATACAAAAGGAGGATTACATATTATATATATATATATATAAACTATCCAAGAGACATTTTTTACCATCATGTTATTAGGAAATCAAAGTCTGTATTCATGGTTATTATGGATATATCAGAAGTGCCTTTTGTGTACAGGCAGAAAACATTCCCCCTTGTGATATTATTTCACATCCAACTTGAAATAGTCTTTAAAGCCATTTTGTCTAAGGGGTAATTTTTGCTATGAATACAGGATTTTAAACAGCCTTAAGTATTAAATGAATGCATGTACTGTCATATTTATCATTTAGGGGGCTGTGTCATATGATATGGCTCTATGTGCAGATATAGCATTTTCCTTACCCACAATGTATCCACACTTTTCCCAGACAATTCAATATAAATTCAAACCATTTATTATAATTTATAATATAACAATGTTAAAGATTAAAAAAAAAAAAATTAAAGATGAAAGAATTCCTTAAATATATCTTCATTTATTTGAAGAAAAAAAATATAATCATCAAATTTTTTTAACTTGCTTATCAAGGTTCTTTATATTAAATCTACAAAATAATTGTATTTTTCTTAATCCGCGTAGAATTCCATTTTGTCGTCAGATATCATATCCTCTGTGAAATCCTAAAAAATTGTGAGAAAAAAAAAGTAATATTAACAAAAGGTTTTATAAAAACAAAAGGAGGATTACATATATAATTTATAAATATTAATATTATTTCTTGGGGAATAAAGTAAAACATCCTTGTGACATTTTTTACCACCAGGATTTTAGAAAGACTTAAGTATTAAATACTTTCATATTTATCATTTATAGCACATTCAAAGAGGGGTTATTTCCTTACTCACCCTGTATCCACACTTGTTCCACACAGTTAATATAAAATCAAGCCATTTAGTATAATTTATGATATAACAATGTTAAAGATTAAAAAAAAAATTGAAGAACAAAATTATTTCATTATATTTTCATTTATTTGCCAAATTTGAAAAACAAAATTCATCAATAAAATAAATTATTATCAACTATCCTTAAATTCTCTGAAATCTACAAAATAAATGTATTTTTCTTTATCAGCATAAAATTTCATTTTTTCATCAGATATCAGATCCTCTGAAATTCTAAAAATTGTGAAACCAAACATTTTCCTTCATCTGTTTGGAAAGACAATTTTTCAGCATGTGTGAAATTAAAAAAAAAAACCTCTGTAACAAAATATTTTCCTTTATCTGCATGGAAAAAGTAGTTTTCATCAGATATTCAACCTGTGTATCGACATTGTCACATCCTCTGTGAAATTAACAAAACTGTAACAAAATATTTTCTTCCATCTGCATGAAAAGAGATTTTTTCATCAGATATACAACAGATGTATCTGTGTTGTCGCATCCTCAGTCAAATCTACAACACCATGTCTCTAAAATATTTTCTCAATATGCTAAATGATGATATTCTATCTTGTTCATAAACTTCTTGAAAATAATATCTTATTGCAATTTTTATTCTACTGCATTCAATATATTTTTGGGGTGTTTTGGTTTGTATTCGACTACATATTGCATGATTTTGGTTAATTCCATGACTCAATGTGAACTTTTCCATTAGCAAAGTTCCCCAATTAATCACAATACAGCATTATCTTGTGATTTCCCACATATTATGTATGGAAAACAGTTGTTTAACAAGTTCACCTCTTTGGTATTTAACCCATTATTGTCACCAATTGTAAGAAATGTTATATAGAGTTATAAATTTTGTAATTTGCAAATTCTTCTTTCAAATGATCACCAAATCCTTTGCCTGGGTAACTAGTTACATTGTTGAACAGTGTGATGGTGAAACCAGAGTTTGTATTTAAATATTATCAGCTACCTTATAAGTGAAATAATTTCTTCGAATTGAGTATTGTCAATCTCAATTAGTTCATTGACCATTATTTTATGTCCATCCATTAAAAAAATATAATATATTGACTGAACAATGATTGATATAAATCTACTCGGAGAAGATTTGTAAATCCTGTTTAAGGATATATATTGTCTACTCAGGATTGATGCCAGTAATATGTTTTCATGATGAACACAGAAGGCAGATTTGATTGGCTTCCGCTGACAGTCAGATAAATTCTAGTTTTTTTGCTTTATTATGTGAAGAATAGAAAACTAGACACAGCTTTTCAGCTATTTTGGTACATTTTGACATTTAATTTGCAGGCTTAAACCATTTCTAGGAACAGTTAATCTGTGAAATCTTAAATTGCTCCTTCAAAGAATCCAGAATTGGACTCTTCTTAGCCATAGGTGACCCTAGTTATGGATAGTTTTGAGTCAGGGTGGCTCTATCTCTACTTAATTACATACGAAAACAGATATTTTGGGCATTTACTCTGAGAGTGAGAGAGACAATGCATGTAGTATTACTGGATTGTGGTCTTTGACTTTCACCATTGTGATGTTCTTCCAAGACCTAAACAACAGACTACTACAGTTCAGGTCCTTTTATGATTTTATTTTTTAATAACATCTGGCTTTGATATTGCTGTTATGATAGTCTGGGTGAGCTATGTCTAATCACAGTCCCGCTCTCTTATTTAAAGCTGCCAACACCCCTAATTGCATAATGTCAAAGAATGACTAAAGTACTAATTTCTAAATTTGGAATAGACACGCCCCATACCTTGCAAATTAGCAGGAACTATTACCTAATTTGGTCAACTAAATACATTCCATTACCATTGGTGCAATTTCATAAATAAAAGAGGATATGATGTGTTTATGATAACCAAAAAGGTAAATGACCAGTCTCTGTATTTTGTTAACCTATGGATCATTTTAATATGTCAAAATATCATATATTTCCATAGTGTTATGTGATGTCCTATCTAATAAAACTCGTTTATGAATTTCAAACCAATAATAGGTCAAGGCCATAATATTGTTACATGCGTCTCTGACATTGGTATTATTATAATAAAACAAATGATAATGAATATTATTGCCATATTTACCATTTTAAAAAAAAAATGTTTAATTATTACAATATATTATTTTATAGAAAAACAAAAAGAGGAGCTGTTCCATATTTTCTATCTTTATGTCCAGTTGACATTTCTTGTTTCAGGTGGATATCAGAGTATGTCCACCACTTGACTCTATTTTATATGTAGTGTAAGAGATGTGCAACAGATTTAAGTAGTTTGTTGGACAGATTCTTTATATTCTTTGAATAATGGTTTAAATTTGTTTGCCTTTCCCCAGCTTGTGTAAATTTATGAATTTTGTAATGTTCCGTCTTCATAATAAAGCATTGTATACTGAATTTTAATATAGTTTTTAATTAGATATTAACATAAGTTTGTTTCATGTTCCTGTAGAGGACAATTTTTATGTATCTGATAAATACTTGGTATTTTTGAAGTATTGCTTTTCTGCACCATATATATTATATGCTAAATTGCTATGTCCTATGTAATGGTGTTTTTGATATAGTTTAGGTGAAAGAAGTGACAATATGAGTTTTGGAATTTAGGCTTTTGTACAGATTTTTATACGCCCACATTTTCATGTGGACGTATGTTGTCATCGCCCCTGTCCGCCCGACCGAATGTCCGCAATTTGTTTGTGGACACTCTACAAGTCAAAATTTTTATCCAATTTTGATGAAACTTAAAATATAGGTTTATATCCCAAAGATCTTGATATTGGCATGTATCGGACCGTAACTTCATGGATAATGGCTTCTGATTTTATGAAAACTCACATTTTTAGCTTGTGGACACTCTACAGGTCACAATTTTTATCCAATTTAGATGAACTTGAAATGTATGTTTATATCCCAAAAATCTCGGCTCCTTTAGATATTCACGCATATCAGATTGTAACTTCCTGGATTATGGCCCCTGATTTTACAAAATATCCAGATTTTAGGTTGTGGACCCTCTAGAGGTTACAATTTGTATCTGATTTTAAAAACATTTAAATATATTAGTGTTACAACTTAATGATGGTTGAGTTTGAATTAATTGAAAAAAGGAACAAAACTGCCAGACAAATTGGCCGCTCCTCCTAACGTAAATAGTGTAAAAGTATGTAATACAAGGATGTGGGTGGACCCTCTAGACATCAGAATTTTTATCTGATTTTGATGAAACTTAAAATATATGTTTATATTCCAGAGATTTTGATTCTGGATTATGTTCCCTGATCGTAGGAAAAAGTGCTTTATGTTTAACTTGTTTTCTGTCCATCAATTGCAAAAAGTGGGCGTATCTTGCATGGCAACCGCTTGTTCTGTTAATTGTATACTTGTACTGAATTTATGTCTTATATATTTTGCTTACAAGAATATTTCGCTTTGCTTTAGAATTTTTTATATGCCCACCTTTAATGTGGACGTATATTGGTGGGCCCAAAAAGCCCCTGTCTCTTTCTGTTTTTTTTTTAAAAAAAGATATCTTTCTCTGCCACTTGCATGTGGTGATTATAAATCGTGAACAATTTCATAATTATTCTTTTCTTTAAAATAAAACTTCTTTATTGAATTATTGATGTATGTTATTTATCACCAATATAAAGTTATACAAGAAAATTCTTATTTATGTAAGGTGTTATCAGTTGTTTTAGCAAGAGCTCAGATACACTTTTTATAGGCCTACATTTACATGCGGACGTATATTGTCGTCACCCCTGTCTGTCCACAATTTGTTTGTAGACATTCTACAGGTCATAATTCTTATCCGATCCAAAAGATCTTGGTTCCTTTCGATATTGGCATGTATCAGATCGAAACTTCATGTATTAGTGCCCCTGCTTGTAGGAAAAATCATGCTTTTAGCTTGTGGACACTCCAGAGGTAACAATTTTTATCCCATTTAAAAAAAAATTCTGATTTTAATGAAACTTGAAATGCATGTTTATAAGTTAACCCAAAGATCTTGGGTCCTTTCGATATATGCTCAATTGCCTGAATTATGGCCCTTGATTGTACGAAAAATCACATTTTTACACCCTAATGATGGTTGAGCTCGAATTTCGTGAAAATCGGACCAAAACTGCCGGACAAAATGGCCGCCCCTCGTATGCAAATAGTGTAAATATATGGTGTATCAAGGTTGTGGAGCCTCTAGAGGTCACGATTTTGATCCGATTTTGATGAAAACTTGAAATACATGTTTATAACCCACAGATCTTGGTTCCTGTCAATATTCACGCATATAGGATCGCAACTTCCTAAATTATTGCCCTTGATTGTACGAAAAATCGCGTTTTTAGTTTGTCTCTCAAGAGGTAACAATTTTTATCCTATTTAAAAAATCGTTTGAATATATAGATAGAACTCAATGACCATTGGACACCACTGTATTCAGTGATATTTTCTTGTATTTGCATGTAGTTATAGAATAAATCACCGTTACACCCTAATGATGGCCGAGTTCGAATTTCGTGAAAATGGGACCAACATGGCCTCCCCTCCTATGCACATAGTGTAAATGATATATCAAGGTTGTGCACCTTCTAGAGGCCACAATTTTGATGAAACTTGAATTACATGTTTATAACCCAAGATCTTGGTTCCTTTGGGTATTCGCGCAGATCGGATCGTAACTTCCTGAATTATGGCCCTTGATTGTACGAAAAATCGGTATTTTACACCCTAATGATAGTTGAATTCAATCTGGTTAAAACAAAGATCCTATTTTGTTTCATTTTTATATACTATTCAAAAAAAGTAGGGGATATTTGATTTTTAAGTGTTATTAAAGTCACCTAATGAAACTGACGAAGAAACAAATGACAAAATGAAATGAATTTCACATTCATCGATTTATTCCAAATGATCGTTAGACTAAGTAAGGCACAGACTGACCATTATAAGGGTAAAATGATACCCGGGGTCAAACGGCAAAGTTACCACAGCATCACAACCAAGTCAGTAACGGGTAAATCCTCCTCTGTTTGCCAAACAAGCATTGATCCGACGTGGCATACTCCTAATGAGACGTCTAAGGTCATTTTGGTCCAGATTGTCCCATTCCTGTTGCAACGCAGCAGCAAGTTCTTGGACATTGGCAGGACGTTGTTGACGTTGACGCAACCTCTGTCCAAGCATGTCCCAGACATGCTCGATGGGCGAGAGGTCGGGACTCAGTGCTGGCCAAGGTAATGTGGTGATGTTCTGTTGTTGGAGGTAACCTGTAACGATCCTGGCCCTGTGACATCTTGCGTTGTCATCCTGGAAGATGAAACGGCGGCCATGACGTCGTGCGAACGGCACAACATGGACTGCCAAGATGTTGTCCCGGTAGTACTGGCCTGTAACACGCCCTGCAACAACATGTAAAGCCGTTCTTCCAGCAACAGTAATGCCTCCCCACACCATAACAGAACCACCCCCAAATCGATCATGTCTGATGACGTTAACGTCTTGGAAGCGCTCGTTTCGACGACGCCACACCCTCCTACGTCTGTCCAAAAAATCAACAGTGAACCTTGACTCATCTGAAAACATCACATTGCTCCAGCGTCGATTATCCCAGTGTTGACGATCCCTACACCAACGACGTCTTGCCTGAATGTGATGATCTCTCAAACAAGGGATCACGCGAGGACGTCGGGCGCGAAGGTGACCCCTATGCAGTCGATTGCGAATCGTCTGGCCACTCACTCTAACACCAGTGTCTGTTTGAAGACGAGCGCTGATCTGATTTGCTGTGATGACACGATTTCTCAAGGCCAAGGTACGGATAAATCGATCCTGGGCTTGAGTCGTCGCCCTTGGTCGACCTGAGCGTGGTCTGTCCTGTACAGATTGTGTATCACGGTATCTGGACCATAGCCTGCTTATGACAGACTGAGAAACATTCATCGTCCGCGCCACAACCGCCTGTGTTGTGCCGATCTGTAGCATGCCAAGGACACGTAACCTTTCATTTTGGGTAAGCCGACGCATATCAAAATTTGTTTTCTGGTCACTAAAACAATTAAACTGATGTTTCCACCCTGGAATTCAATGCCACAATGACTGTAATATTCAAAGTCAGAGTCGTGCAAATCTTGGGTTGGACCCCCATGATGATCCCAAGCATCACCTGCATTCCATGCGGTAGCTATTGGTGCGTTTGGGCGTCACATGTAACTGGAAATGTTTCTTCTGTTAGGTTCTATAGTGACTTTTTTCGTAGTCATTTGCATATTTTAGTATTATGCCCCCAAAATCAAATATCCCCTACTTTTTTTGAATAGTATAGTTCAAAATTTCGTTTTACTTGTCTTTACTACACTTGGATCTGGAAAAGTTGTCATTTAACTCGTGTTCTGAATGGTATCAGCGATAAGCCAATGAAACGGTCTGTTACGGCGAGCTTTAGGCGTGTTCTGCACAGAACTGTGGGAAATCCACTAGTAACATCAATGCTGATTGGTTAATGAAATGTCTGACATCATAGGGTCATAAGTCGGTCTTTTGACCCCTGACGTGACCTATCGCTATAACTTGTCAGATCTTCATGTAGTGTAAGCCATCGAAAGTATAAAATAACGAAACGAAATATAGATCTGTATTTTAATCAGATTGGGTTGAATTCGAATTTCGTGAATATCGGACCAAAACTGCCGGACAAAATGGCTGCCCCTCTTACGCAAATAGTGTCAATTAAATATATGGTATATCAAGGTTGTGGAGCTTATAGAGGTCACAATTTTGACCCGATTATGATGAAACTTGAAATACGTGTTTATAACCCAAAGATCTTGGTTCCTGTCAATATTCGCGCATATAGGATCGCAACTTCCTGAATTGTGGCCCTTGATTGTACGAAAAATCGCGTTTTTAGCTTATCCCCCTAGAGGTAACAATTTATATCCTATTTTTAAAAAAAAACGTTTGAATATAATATCACCGTTACACCCTAATGATGGTTGAGTTCGAATTTCATTTTGTGCACCCTAAGGGCAAGAAGGTGGTTTCAACTTCCAAGGTGCTCTAATGGACATATTTGATTTAGTCTTTATCTTTAACTTTTGATCTTTCGTGAAAGGCATGACACCTTTCTCTAACTTGGTTAAAGATCAAAACCGGTGGCAATACAAATAGTATTAAGAAAGGCCATACATCCATTGTCGAGGACCGAATGTATGAGGTGATATGTCTTTTTCCGGTCAAAGATTTCGACAAGAAACTTAGTTTCATCTTCGAACTGAATAAACTGAACATTGAGATATAATATACAGACATTTGCTAGTGTCATGGCCTATAAAACTAACTCACAGATTCTGGAGCCGTGGTTTGGAAAACCTGTTTAGCGCTCCTTGAATTTTGTCTGGTACCTTTGGTTCACAGGGTGTCTGGTATTCAAACAAAGCTCACTTCCTCGATAGTTTCCAATTCAGGGCCAAATGTGTCTGTTGGACAAGAAACTCGCTATGTACAGTTTACACAACATTCTTTCTATACAGACAAGATCAGGCGGTGTCGAGAGATTTACAACGACTACGAATATACCGCAGAATGTTGTAGTCTGACAATGTGATTGAAAAGAGCGTGCTCTCGGTGGTAAGAACCCGCCAATTTCAGATTGATTCGATTACTGATGCAGTCAACAGACCAGGCATCCCGCACTTACGCCAAGAAACTTATGACAGTTACCTTATCAAGTAAATGGGTAAATATTAAGCGTTTTAACAGAAGTTAATGTTCGGGGGTTTTAATATTAAATTTACGCCGTTTTTGATGAATTGGTAAGCAAGGTTATATCTCTGGAGGTTTGGTACTTAGGATATACTCTAGAAAGCACCATTTACAGCTACGAGAGAGTTGGGGCCCTTTACTGGGTCGGGCGGCTATTCGGCCCACGGTACCTACTGCGCCCCTGAGATGTATGCCATGTAATAGATATAAAAATTGACAAAAATATGTTTCTTATAGCCTTACATCAGAAAATATGGTTCTCTGATCAGTCATTTGAGAAGAACACTTTAAACATACATAAACAACCTTAATTATTAGAAGATTAAAATACAAATACAAAACACTTCTCCCTGTCCCGTCTAAAACAACACAATTCTAAGGAATTCATTTTTACTTTTTTTTACTGCCCTCTTACAAATAATATAAACTTATTCATAATTTGCAGTTGGTGCAAATCTTGTATGTATCTACGGAAATTTATATTTTCAGACTTTGTTTACTATTAAATTCAAACTTGAACTCGCCCACATTACAATGATCATGAAACTTTTAAAACAAATTTGATTTGCTCCTTTTAACTATTGTATGAAAAATTAAGCATGTTTTCTGTATCTTTTTGATGCAATATGTCAATGATAAAAATACATGTGATATTTTCAAGGGATTTCTGCCGTAAGTAATAATTAATGAAAGTCTGGAAAACTTCCAGAAACGTCTATGAACTTAAGGTCTGTTGTTAATGCCTTTATTTTTGGTGCACGCCACTATATGAATATTTAATTTAACCACATAATTTTCTTATTCTATTAATTTTAACAGAGCTGTATAAAAAAAAAAGACAGAACAGAATGATTTACTACTCATTTTTCTTTTTGTCCCCCGCCTTTCGAAAAAATGGGTTCGTCCGTATGTCTGTCTGTCCGTCCATCCGTCACACTTTTTGGGACACAATAACTCTCTTTCTAATTGAGCTAGAATGTTCAAACTTGGTGTAGGTGTTTATTGGGTCAATGCCTTGATGGAGTTCGAATGATAGGTTGATGTTTTGGGACACGATAACTTTAATTCTAATTAAGTGAGAGCGATGAAACTTGGTGTATAGAGAGATAAGCAATTTGATTGGTCGCGACTTTGGAACACAATAACTCTCATTCTAATTGAGTTAGAATGTTTACACTTGGCGTAGCTGTATGGAATTCAAAGATGAGAATTTTCTGCTTAGGGTAAGCAGAGATAAGCAATTTGATTGGTTGATGCCTTTGGAGACGATAACTTTAATTCTAATTAAACATGCATTATGCAAGAGCGAAATCTGCCTATTTCAGGTCTTTCTTTAGGCCTGAAATGTTATCTAAATTATTAATTAGACATTAATTAACCTATCCAGGCCATAATCAACTCTAGATGGCTGCGCTAGCCTGCGATCTTTAGTGGATTGTAAGCCGATTTACTGCATAACTTTCCTTCTCATTAAACGATTAAATGGATAATCGAGACTATGCTGTTTATCGTACTGACTTTAGTAATGATGACCGAGGCTTATGGGAATTTCAGTCGCTTAGTTCTCGGTTCATAGTGGATCAATTTGAATGAAATTTTCACCAAATTGCCTTCTACATTATCTAATTTTTAACTATTATAGTCAGAACTGCCAACTCGTTACCGAATCTCCCATAATGTATCTTTAAGTGAGAGTGAGGACACTTGATGTATAGCTTTATTACATCAATACCTTGACTTAGTTCGATAATTAACATTTTCTGCTGGGAGTAAGCAATTTGATTGGTCGAGACTTTAGAACACAATAACTCTCTTTCTATTTTAGGTAGAATGTTCAAACTTGGTGTAGGCGTTCATTATTAGGTGAATGCCTTGATGGAGTTCGATGATGAACATTGTCTGCTTACGATAAGCAGAGATAAGCAATCTGATTGGTTGATGCTTTAGGGCGCGATAACTTTTGTTATAATGAAGCGAGAGCGATGAAACGCCGAATATAGATTCATTATATCATTACCTTGACTAAGTTCGATGGTGAGAATTTTCTGCTTAGGCTAGGAGCGATAAGCAATTTGATTTTGGAACATAACAACTCTGCTTTTAATTGAGGTAGAATGTTCATTGGGCGAATGTCTTGACTGAGTTCAATGATTAACATTTCGAGCCGAAGCTAAGCAGAGCTTATCAATTTCATTGGTCGATGCTTTGGGACAAGATAATCTTGATTCTATCTGATAGAGAGCGATGGAACTTAGTGTATAGTTTGATTGCTCGATACTTTTGAAAAAAATAAATGTGTGATTAATTAATATGCGTCATCTATTTATTTTGGGATTTCGGCAGGGGACATCAGCCTCACTGTTGGCTTATTTACATGGATTTGCTCTGGTCATTTCTTTCGTAAGTCAACGGGGTATATTTACTGCTTATAAGGGGTTTGCCGTTGCAATAGGAATTAGGCGTTCCTACTTGTAATCCAAATTTATTAACAAATTTGTCATCTCTATAATCCATTTAATAATTTTATAATAAATCAAAAAAAAGAAATGTTACCTTTTCGTTAATGTTAATTCTAACTGGGTATTATGGTTAATGTTTTCATCATACCGGGGTTTTCAAGTACTCAATTTATTCAAATACTATACAATGAATAAGTTCAATGACAAAAAAAAACCTTTTCATATCATTTAAACAAAGCACAGTTTTCAAATTTCTTGCCGTTTTATTTCACATATACGTCTGCATTCCTGACAACATGCATCACTGACAGATGGGGAAAATAAAAAGGTAAGAATTCCTTCCCTTGACGAACTAAATTAAGAAATATTTCAATAGTATCGTATCATTTCTTGTCTTCAAGTTTCGTCTAATATGTACACAATTATTGCATTATGCAACTTCCAAGGATTCACACCTGGTGGCCAACGTTATTAGTCAAACCTTATTTGCACATTTTATGTTAAACAAGGGTGGATAACTCATTCCGGTTGATAGCCATTGCGACTGTCCGATTCCGTGATGTTCGGCCGTCATACACTGGTAATCCATCATCCGAACGACTCTTCTCTACACGCCAATGGTATGTATTTTGCATAACACTAAGAATACAAAACAAAAGACTGATTCCGAGTATAACTGTACACGCCAGAGCTGCCGTTGATCGGAATTTCATAACAATAAACAGGGCTAAAGCTGAAAATAGAGAAAGTCAATTAGCTTTAATGTACCAAGAATGCTTTAGAAATTTGAACAATTAGGTTTGGATTTTGAAAACCCCGAAAAAAAACTAACTCAAACAGCCCCGTAATTAATTCAAAGGGCTGATCATTGCCAGACTTCGTGAATACGCTCGTGGTTTCAGATAAAGGCAAAGACAAATCTAATGCACGTCGATAAAAAAAAACACTAACACGTTTAGTGTCTGACAACGCAATGAGCTGAATTAAGACAAAAAGCATAGGGACCTCCCCAAGAACCTTTCGAGAAATAGATTCGATTTGGTGCATTCTGAGGTATAATTAGGCGAGTAATACAAGTTAAATAAGATATAAATATTAAACATTTTTTTGTTGTTATTCAATCAAGATATGAATCCCATTTGTCCTACTTTGCTCTCCCTATACTAAAGCAAAATCATATACTTTTCCAAAGACGACCTTTCTATAATTTATCTATCTGTCCAAAAGTGTAAATCAAAAAATATGCCTGAATTTTGTACCGACGTGTGAGGTTGTTTTCTACACAACTTCCAACATAAAAGTCGTAGCAGGGTCTACAGTATGTAATTTTAAAAGATAATTCGATAAGCTTTCGATCAATTTTGAATATACTTGTATTGTTTTTCAGGAAGTGGGTATGTATGTGTGATTATTCTCAAAAGCTCGGTACCTTTGCGGGTTCTAAAGACAAAGAGACTTCACCATTGTGGATACCACCTGACCGTCAGTTCTAAAATTGTTATCGAAAAAAGGTCAGGGAAAAAGTCAAACATTTCCGACTACATGGCGATATCATTTCAGCTCAAGACGATATCTTATCCCTCAAAGGGCACGTGTATCCTCTTTTACTTTATTTTGTCAGATGCAGTGTATTTCTCTCTCGTATAATATAGCAGGCAATCTCATGTCTGGCTTTTCAAGGGATATTTCCTGATAGGTATATCATATATACTAAAGACCATTGTATGCAATATTTGGGCTTATAAACACGTCGTAAATTACCGGAAGTGTTGGCCGAAGAATGTTGATTGTGTAAAACACGATTATACTTACCCACCATGTATGCTGGAATGGACAGGAAAAAACTGAAAACGGCAATAAAACGACTGCTAGCACATTCTTTTAAATACTTGAAAGCCCTGTAAATGAGAAACGAATGAGTTGATATTGCCATTACCATATCAGATTATTCATGCCTCATTTGGAGAAAGAGACAGAATATCAGGAATATCAAGAAATGATTTATTTGTAATAATGTAATCGGCTGGCGTAAGTAGGCGATATTATGTGATACTAGTGATAATAGATGTATATTTCCAAATAACTGTAAATTTAGGATATTGCTTAATCTGATTGTCCTCATATCCATTTAAGAAGAAAACGGGATATCAACATCGACTATGGCAACGAACAAGATCGATGTAAGATTGCTTGCATCTTCAAAGAGGTGTAGAAGTAATTAATTTGTAAAGGCAATAGCATACCTTTCAGAACCTTCGTACGTTCTGAGTATTTTAGCAGTGAAGAATAATTGCATAGAACACACCATCAAACAGCACAAATCCAACCCAATAACAAGAGTCGCCAACGAAGTTGTCGCTTCATAAACCAGGGAGTAAGTAGCAGAGGAATTCAACATGCCATCGTTTGTAATGTTCCTATAATCACCATCTAGCTCCACCAGAGATATCAGTATCTGAAGTGATAAAGCTGAGAGAACCAAAGAAGCTATAGACAACACCGCCAAACTGTAAATAAATTTGACAACACTGTTGTCCGTCTCGGACAGGGAGATTCTGGAATCGGCGTCCAGGCTTTGACGTGATAGATTTAAACTTCGCCGTGAAAAACTTGATGGTCGACTCAAATTTCCGTTGGTTCTGGCGAGCAATGCTGATATTCTTGACCCAGCATCACTTCTGGGTTCGTCTGTTTTCTGTAATAAAACATCTAGAAGATCTCTATCTCGACAACTGTCTGTGGACCGATTTATATCTTGCATAATCCTATTGACGTCTTCATGTCACCAACCTCTTCCACACCGTATGGTGCTCTGGCTCTCTAATCTGAAACTAGATAAAAAAAGGAGTCTTGTTTTGGTATAAATAATCCCTATTTAAAGTATAAATTGGAACAGTATAGAATTTGAATACCAAGTGATTTCCCCATCTTTAAAATACTAACATATAAAAAAAACAGAAGTCCGCGTTAATTCTAAACCATTGGTTTTTTCTGTAAATGATTTGTTTTGTTTCACCAGCATTCGAGATGGGCGAATTAACTGAAATTCTGATCACATTATTGACTTGACAAGGGCTTAGCTTGACGTTTTATCAGCTTTTTACCCCTCTACACAAACAGATCAATGGGCCAAATTTGCTTTTAGATCGAGTTTCTTCACTGATGGTTTTTACATATATCTTCTTATATTTCAATGTATTCACATCCCGTTTTCTTTTTTCTTGATATTTTTAAAATTCAGTCAACATTCAGTAAGATATATTTTAATGTGTTATACAGGAATACACAGAGACAGAGCATTAAAGAAAGTGGTGTATATCTCTGAAAGGATAAAACAAAAAATTTATATTGTGGCAAATCCCAAGCCGCCATCTTTTCGGCGTACATGTTGAATTTGTTGCTGATTCCTTAACTCAAGGACGTCAGTTTGTCCGGCCCGCCGTTGCATGCTGAAAAAAAAACATGCTTCTAACACTTCTTACGTAACGCATATAGTACACTGAGTCAGTAACATCACGCGCTACGGGTATGCATTGTATAAAATGTTTTGGTGAGATTAAAATATTTTATTGTTTTTAGTAATTCGTGTATTTCATGTATTGATAAATAAATAGAATGACTATCCTTATTTTTGTGTACATTCAATGTATTCTGTATTCAGTGTATTGAACAATATATATATTTATCCGGCCCGCGCTCGGCATTCTTTCAGTTATATATCTGGCCCAGTATGAAAAAAGTTTGGTGACCCTGGGATTAAACCAACAGAGATTTCAGGAGCAGCAGAGGATGAAATGTTTGTCTATCGAATAATGTATGATTGTATCCGAAATAGATTTTTATCACATAACTTATCAACCTTACAGAAACTTGTACCTCTTGTGTATTTATTACGACAGTCCATCAATATATTAGACATGCTTTATGGGAGTTACAAATTGGTTGACGCTCTTGGATTAAATGTTATGCCCCTAATTCGATTAGTTCAGTTTAGGGTGCCTTGACCTGACAAAACGTAATTTCGATTGACTGTTTTTAAACTACAAATCAGACATTTTTTTTTATCAACAATTGTATTTATATTTACTTCCAATCCACCATAATAAAATATTTTTAGTGAGTAAGGCGTTGGACTGCTAACTTGGAGATTCCGGGTCCGATTCCGGTGCTGGTGGAGAAAGTTCCTTTGGATTTTCCGGCGCCGTTTCCCCTTGAAAGCGGTGCGAACGAATGGGACAAAAAAACGAGGCCCCGTGAGAGAGAGAGAGAGAGAGAGAGAGAGAGATGGGATTCAACGTCCACTCGACACAAACTAGGTCATTTCGGGACTAACACATGGTTCATTTTTATTTCAATAATTCGCTTCCGCGTAGGGATCTTTAGCAGTGGGAGAAAACCGGAGGACCCTGAGTAAACCAACGAGGTTGGACAGGCGACCCTATTCCTTGTCACGTAAAACCGGGGAATCGAAACCCCGCCAGTTGAATTTCCAATATAACTAGCCTCAAATTTAATAGCACCAAAGAAGTAAATTAAGTCTATCGGACACAAATTCAACTCAATATAATTTTTTTTTAAAAATTAAATCAGTTATAACAAATTATAATAAGAATAAGAAGGCATTAAACATTTTCTGTATATGTAATACCTTTTTTGACATGTAACCTAAAGGGTGGATTCCTGAAAAGATGTATATTGTAATCAAAGATTAGTGCTAATTTTGCAGGCAATTACTCAGTCAATCAATAAATCAGTTAGATTAAAAGATATCTTAATCTAAAGGTAACAAATGACAAATCAAACAATGGCCTTCAAGTATCTCATCATTTTATGGTTACTTAATATAAAACAAATATATATTTTGTTTTAGAATAATGCTGAATAATTCATCAGTAATACAATTACTATACACATATTTGGATTGATTAAGAATTTTATAAAATTACATTTAAAAAAATACAGTTAATTAATAATTTATACCTTCATGTCATTTTTCAAGTCAAACAGTGAAAACATCAGTTTTTGTCACCACTGCCCGTCACTTGAAAATTTGACTTGATGTTATAATATATAGAAATAACAATAATTCATACACAGATATCTATTGTAATTCAAGGATTATTTTCAGTTTGATTTTTGTAGGCACTTCATGGCAGAAAAATAAGGTTGTCTTTTTAATTTCTATGAAAAATGTTTTTTATTTATATACTCATAAAGTAATGGGTTATGTTAATTTATTGCTTTCAATGTAATGGGTAATGGTAATTAATTACATTGCTTAAAATGAGAAAGTAATTGTAATGATTACATTTAAAAAGTAATGTTAATGTAATTAATTACATTGGCAATGTAATGGCACCAGTCCCGCCTTAGAGCCGAGCAACTAACTCAATATACGTGATACGTTTTCAAACAACTTAAACCCGCCAGTCAGTCTTCATCTGGAAATGGAGACCGGTGTCCCAAGCTGTATTATTCGGTGTCTGGATAAAACCAGACTCTTATTGTATAAAAATAACCTGTAGGTGAAATTTACCTTTCGTTATCAAGTAATACGCCGTAAAGACCTCTAAACGAATGGCAATAGATTATCAGGTCACCCAACGAAAAAATTGACCCGAAATCTTAAAAGTGTTACGTGTCCGGATAAGCGGATTTGACGTTCACGTCCAAACGACTTTATATTTTGAGCTGAAATTTTGAGACAAGTTAAATACACTATTTCTCTATATTTTGGCGTTTATTTCTGAGACTTTGTTAAAATCGGGATGGTCCCTTTAACTATTATAACGAAAACTGTAAGCTCTTTTTTCTGAATCGTACATAATGCATCTTTAATTTAGCCAAAAATAAGAATTGAGAAAGTAATTTGAGAAATAGGTATTCGGTCAAATAGTGGTCCTTAAAGATACATTATGGGAGATTAGATAAAGAGCTGACAGCTCTCGCTACAACAGTTAAAACTAGATAATGTAAAGGGAATTTGCTGAAAATTTCAGTCAAATTGATCCACTCTGAACCGAGATTTTAGCGATTGAATTTTCGGCCTAGCCTCGATCATCATTACTAAAGTCTGTATGATAAAAAAACCATAGTCTCAATTATCCATTTCATGATTAAATCAAGAATGAAAGTGGAGCAGCAAATGGTATCCAAATCCAGTAAACATCGCAGGCTAGCGATCACGTCAAGAGTAGATAAATACTACAATATTGGACCTTTATAGGTGCTTCCCGCTACTGGATGATTCAGCCGTTTAGTCGTAGAGTATACTGGCCGTTTACATTAGAAGCTCTCCTTACGTCACTCGAGAATCAGACTGCCAGTTATAGGGACATGCTTACATTTTTGTTTTATGGGAGCTCCATGGGTATTTTTCAGGGGATCCAGTATTTTTCTAGTAAGATTGAATGTCTCTACTTTCCATATATGCCATACTTTTATTTGAAATAATTACCATATAAATAATTTCGTGGGGATGTATCTTTAATAAAAATAATTTCAAGATTTCCTGCCTGTTAAAAGAAACAAAGTCGTATAATATCAGAACACGGCCCCTTTTCCTGTATAAGCTCAAAGATACAAGTCGATTGAAATTTAACCCTGTTATTCGAGAAGACGTCGGAACTAATTGTGATGGCGAAGCATATCCCACTTACTCAACTGGTGTTTGTCCAAAATTAAAGAAACACTATAACCATTTGTGTCTTACTCTAAAAATCTCTCAATATAGACAGAATGATTGAAAGCTGCTTAATTTTTCAAGAAAAAACATAGATCAATCTACGATGGAAAATATCGATTTATCAAAAGTCTTGTGATGGATCTCTAGTTCTTTTATTTATCTCGAATAGTTATGGAATTGAAAGTTGAATATTCACTCCATGATGTTATTCCGAGTCGTGGTCAGGCACTTATTGTTATCATAAATATAAATGAAAATGTCTGAATCTATAAAAGCTTATTAAAAACATACGTTCATATAAACCGAACTATGGAATAAAACCCGTGATGTTTTATAACAGACGACATTGTAATATGTGGAATAATGTAGAGAATCTGTAGATATTATATCAGGCTGGCAGTACGTGTTGTGTAATATATTACTATGGGTTATGAGGATCCTGTGTATAATTGATTTCGTGCTACATTACATCCCATTGGTATACTAGATACCTATCACCCAACGATAATCGAAAACTTCGAAACAGATTTCAGACAAACGTTTCAAAAATGAATATTTTTTATTAAAAAAAAACAAAAAAAAACAACCCGATATGATTTTACACCATAACAAGTTCTACTCACTTCCGATGCCTAATAAACTGTTCCGTAATGGATATTACTGTAACTCTAAGATCATTGGAAAATATGCCAATTGGAGAATCTTCTACAATGATGAAGGGGTATGCATATAATAGCCATTGTTGAACAAGCTTTTGGCTGGCTGCTGGCCATCTAACGCATTAAAAAGCGATAGTTCACAAATTGCATTCATTTTCGAAAACATGCGAGATTTAATATGTATTTTCCCACACAAAAAGTTGACTCTTATACATGTTTAACAAAATAATTTTACATATTTGAGTCTTGTATTAAAACATAATACACTGAGATCAAAAACATCTTTGGTTTGTGAACTATAATTTTATATAATAAAAGTCATTCAAGATTATTTCCCTTCCGTGACAAATAACAGGCTATTTTATTTTGTAGCAAATCGACCATTGAAAGGTCAAATCATCAATCAAATAGAATATAAAAGTCTGGTCTCATTGTGACATTTGTTATTAGCCTCAAATGGGAAGTGGTATCGAATGTGCTGACAAAA